CATACCGAGTAGCAGTGTTCAATTTGAAATTCAGTGGATCCACCTGTATAGATACATGCATTGTCTATATTTAGTTATACACAATGAATTAACGTCAACTTGTATGACGTTTTTACTAAATTAACGTCTACCTACATCTACTGTCCCTGTGACTGGTCTACCCGGAACACCAGATATAGGAGATACAGTAGGTGCATGACTTACTACTGTCATTCGGGGTAGTTTCTTCCGTGTTGCTTCATAAGAGCTAAAGTGACCCTCGTCTGCCAAGGTGAGAATACTAGTGATCTGTTGTTATCTAACTGGACATTGGAGATGAAGAAGTAGTTCCCAGTCACTTAGGTGAATCATTAGGACTGATGTACTTCTTAGCCACGTAAGTGACTCATACCGGTAATGGTCCGAGCCAGTTAGCTTGATCTCTGAAGTAAAGTGGTTCTTGGGCGGTGACAAAGAGCTGGTCGTGGACGGCAGTGGTGGCCAAGAGTGAGGGGCGTGCCGCTACATAGACCAGTCTCCCCTCCACGATCCCTATTCGCGCCCTGAAATATTATATTGTGGTCCTCTTTGGCCGGCAGTCTTTAACCCGTCCATCTTGAGGGAAACACTATTATTAGTGAAGGGGCGTAGGAAAAAACAGAGCAAGTGGAGGTGAGCCAGTGCTTGTCTGACTGGCTAGCGGTCTGCCTTCGCCCCAGGGTGGACGCTCCCTCCTGAGGTCCCCATCCCCGGCGGCCAGGTGATATGAGCAGCATCGGCCAGTCTTGAAGGTGCCACATTATGCAGGTCGAAAGCCACGCTGTGTTAGGGTATGGTCAAGGGTCCACTTAATGGGCTGGTAATGGTCCCTAACATGATAACACACCTTAATATCTGCGCAATTCATATTTCCTTTATTTTTAGCTAGCAAGAATTATTGCTCTCATTCACTCCTCTAATGTCAATCTTTTTATCCCATGTACAGACTTACAATGAACTATCCTTCAATAGCCGTAAAATACTAAAGATCACAAATTAACTTCCCTTCCATTTCCCTTCCATCCGCTGCACCGACCGACCGACCGACCTTGGACTCTCCACCTACCGTTGAAGCTAATAATCGGAGCGAGGAAATTAGAACATCCAGTAAAAAGAAAAGTAAAAAGACGTTCTTGGCATAGTCGCTATACATCAGTTGGAGTGAGTTTCTTTTTTGGCTACTTTTGATAGCGTAGCAACTTCTTTTTCTCTCTCATATCTCTACCAGTACCACTGTTATCCGGATTCCGGTTATTGTGAATTTTGAAGATTTACCGTTACTTTGAATATACTTGATCCTTGTTACTATGAATACTGAAGATCTCGGTTATTATACATATGATTAACTCTCCGTTACTGTACATATTAGAGATGGCTGTTACTATGAGTATCTAAAATCTGCGTTACTATAATTTTTTTAATCCAAGACCTAAATGAACAATACTCTTGGTAACTCCTACAGCTAAACCGGTACAGGGTATATAATGAATTTCGGGATATTTACTTTATAAGAATACTGTTGAATCATTAGTCGATTTATCTGAATAGCGATGATAAGGTTAGGTTAGGTTAGGGTAGGTTAGGTTGATTATTTAGTTACTGCGCTTCAACAACCAAGGCCTTTAAGTGCTTGACATGTTTAAGAGTTACACTAATCCATCCACTCTCTGTAGCGATGATTGAGTCAGGTAATGAAAACTTTGATAAACGGAACATCTTATTAAATTGGGTTATTTATATACCCCCTGTACTACGTGGCGTCCTGGTCTCTCACACTCAAGGTTGATTAATTAATGGTCTGTCACCTAGAGTGTAACAAACAAACTACAACCAATAATAATAATAATAATAATAATAATAATAATAATAATAATAATAATAATAATAATAATAATAATATATTTCAGTAAATTCGTCATGCAATTTTACTGCTGGCTTGGCATGTACAGGTATATAAACAATGCAGGTAAACAATTTATAATGTACATTGTCCGGGCAGGTATACAACCTATGTATCTAGACAATGCAGGTATACAGCAATAAAAAACAGTAGAATAGTCAACAAAGCCATCAGATGCTCATTCCAAATAAGAACTTTACCCAAAACACTTTAAATTCCTTAAATATTGACATCACTTCTCATCGAAATAACAGTAAGCTTATCTCATGCAGTGTACAGTACATGGTAAAGCAAGTTGATAGTCGGACCGAGCACGATAATGCCTCACTGTGTATTTTACTGCCTCATTCCTTACTACTAAAAAGAGAAGAAATTACCAAGCTCGTACATAATACACAACATATCCCCGACGACAGGATTACACAGGACTTATGTCGTAGCCATAACTCCACTGCATTCATAAGTTTATCTTTAGTACTTGCACCGTATATTAGCATACCGATATGTACTGTACACACACACACACACACACACACACACACACACACACACACATCACCTCAACCAATGCCTCCTATCGGGTGCAGCACATACCTGTTAGTGCTCTGGTCTCCAGCTGCCACTACCAGCCACGTACAGAGACCCTACATCAAGACCAACAGGCCGATTACTGACTGTAATGCGTCTCTTCGGGCAGTGGATAGTTCACACCTCGAATCAAAAGACTTATGCAGCAGAGAGACAGCGCCTTTTATCTCAATGACCACAACCGCTACAGGTCCCTTCGCAACCAAGTTCATCCGCGAAATACGCCCTGCAAAGAAGTCTCACTACTCACTACCCAACCAAGTTGCAACACCTGAAGCAGACCAACAACAGCCAGTGGTGTGGTAAGCTTAAATAACTCTGTGGACTAAACAATAAGACACACCCCCTCCCCTTCCTTATCCATCTCACTAATGGTGACGCAGCTGAGCAATCAAACAACCATTTCGCAACTATATGCTTGACACAACCAGTCTCCCTGCTTACCTACCAGCCCCCTTTCCCACTGACTTAGTAGAAGAATTTGAAGAAGCAAAACGTCTGGACAAACTGAAATTAAAGTGCTCCACCACCCCCATTGAACTTACCAATGAAACTCTACAAGGAGTTCTCCCCGGAACTAGCTAAACCCCTCTGCCCCATCATCACTGCTTCCTTCAGTCAAGCAAGATGCCCAGCTGACTGGAAGACTTCATATATGTCACCAGTGCCCAAGTCAACCATTCCACAGTCCAATACCCAGCATGATCTGTGAAAGTTTCGTGTTTGACTAAGTTTCTGCTGATATTGCAGGCGCCATAGATCCTCAACAATTTGGTAATATGAAAGCTTCCTCCACCACTCGCTGTCTTGTCAGCTTTCTCGACTACTTATACTGTCATCTGGAAAAACGAAAAACGCCTGTGGCTGTCGCCTTCATTGACTTCACCAAAGCATTTGACCTGGTCGACCACAATTTAATCATCAACAAAGTTATCGACCTCGGGTTTCGGAGAAGTCTTATAACATGGCTTACGGACTTCCTTAGTGACCGACGCTAAGGCGTACGCTTCCGAGGGGCTCTCTCCACCTTTCAGTCACTCACCTGTGGCGTCCCCCAAGGCACCAGGATGGGACCGCTCTGCTTCCTTATGCTTATCAATGATGCCCTAAGAGAAATATGTCGACGACTCCACCATTGGGATCAGTGTCAACAACTCGGCTCCCGACTATACCGCCCTCCAGGATTTATAGAACAGTCTCCAAAATTGGGCCACCAACAACCACGTCACCATCAACCAAACCAAGACGATGGTTTGGCACATCAACCTCTCCTCCGACGTTGTCCCACCCCCTTCCATTCTTTTAGGCCCCAGCACACTCCAGATTGTAGACTCAACTAAGCTCCTCGGCGTCACTATAGACAACAAACTAAATTGGAAAACACACGTCAGTGAAGTTGTCAAATCCTCCAGTTTCCGTCTCCACCTCCTCCGCCGACTCAAGTCTCTCGGCGTTCTTGCGCCCTAGCTCCCCAGTGTTTACTCAACATTCATACTTCTCAAGCTCACCTATGCCTTCCCTGCCTGGTCTTCCTCCCTAAATGCCACACAACGTAAACACCTAGAAAAAGTGCAAAAGAGGGCATGCAAGATTATTCTCTCCCCTTTCTACTCCACATATCAAGAAGCGCTCAACACACTGATCCTCTCGGCTCTCTCTGACCATCACCACGAACCTCATCTGCAAATTAACGGTGTATGTAAGTGCCACAACAACGGTACAGCAAAGAATATATTTTTTAGCATTAAACTGTTATTATTTTATTGTCTAATCATCACTACATATAACACCATCCATCATCACTACATATAACACCATCCATCGTCACTACATACAGTATAACACCATCCACCATCACTATAGATCGGCAAAGTAGTTTCCGAGATTCTCATGCAGATACACACACACAAACATACTTCTTTGTTATATATATATATATATATATATATATATATATATATATATATATATATATATATATATATATATATATATATATATATATATATATATATATATATATATAGGTGTGTGTACTTAGTTATCAATCGTGTAACTTTTTTTTTATCTTGTGAAAAGATTCAGGCAATCGATCATTTCCTGTTCAGGAGTTTCAAGGCGGCTGTGGGTCCTGGGGAGGCTAGGAAAGGATACCAGTCCTAACTAGATCCAGTCTGGAATTAGTGGGGGAAAAATGTAAAACATGTCAATCAATTTGACTAAAGAGTTTAATATTTAAACTGTATCTATGTATTACAGCAGAAAACTTATCAATTAATTCATATCTCACGTCATGATGAATATTCCGCTATTTTGGGAAGTTCCCGGCAGTTGAACAACTGAGGCGGTACCGGCCGACGGAGAGGAGGCGTGGCCAGGGCATAGCGAGAGAAGGAGAGAGGGCGTAGGGCGGAGAGGAGGGAGGGACGCTGGGAGTTGTCGGGGGAACAGGACAAGGCAAGGGGAGGGGCAGAGGGGTACAGAGCGAGTATGGTGGGTATAAATGGCTGTGAGGACCCAGCTGAGGCACGGCACTCCTCTTGGCTCGTCATGAAGTGTTGGGTGAGCTCCTGCTACTGTTCTCTGTACTAACACTACAGTCTTAGTGATCTTATAGTGACAACCCAAAGCTGTTGTGGTGTTTAGTGACAAGTGTCTTATGGTAGTTGGATATAACATTCCAGCTTACAAACCAGAAAACAATCCTACCCATTCAACAACGAATAATACAGCACAGTGAAAGTTATTGCATATTTAATATATATATATATATATATATATATATATATATATATATATATATATATATATATATATATATATATATATTCTAGCTTCATTTTAATGTATCAGTGTAAATCATTTACAATCTACTGACATCATTATTACATGTTTGTAAAATATAATTAACGTCAAATCAGTGTTTTATCCATCACTTAACTGACACTCCTTCCTCTCATATATCGTATTAAGATATTTCTTCGCCTATTGTCACCTTTTTATGACCAAAGTTTCAAATATTTGAGTGATTGACTGTTGTAGTTCATAAGGGTTCGTTTGTAACAGGTCACCGTTAACTCATTCAATAGGTTAGTCTCTGGTCAAAACGAAACCATTTTCTGTAATCAGTTCCATGACTAACGACCATAAATTACTTTTATCAGACTTACAGTTGGTCCTAGAGAGCTTTTGCGGTGTTGTGCATTGTGTTTACATTCACCCATTGTTAGCATACATTATTTTACTTGACAGTTGAATTTCACAATGCCAGACATAATATAAGTATTACACAATTTACTATTAATGAAGCCCATTTTATTATTGATGATTATATATTCCTGTACTTTGATATTTTATAGTAATTATATACTGTAAGTTCCTTTGTGGCTGACTAATATGAAGGACAATTTCTGAGAATCTCTGTTGTACACAATTTCCAACCTCCGCGTTTTCACAATAGTTCAAAACACAATCACATCATTTCTATTGCTATATTTTCTCAACACCGGCAAAACTATATCTAATACTCGACTTCTCTGATTACAAATAACCTTCTTGTATAAATCTCACCTGAAAATAACTTTGGTATTTTGATGAACTACATCCAGATTTTCTCTCTTTTACTGTTTCTTCATTATTCCTATTCATTTCTTGAAACCACTGCAGCATATCATATTTTCCTTGCGTTATTTTCAATTATTTGGTTCTTCATTTTCAACTAAATGCATGAAATTTAGTAAACTTTACCTGCAGTATATTCTCTGTAGTATCCACGACTAAAGAAAAATTTTATCAGTTGTTTATTTTATAACACAAATAAATTATATAAAAGGTGAGAGTCACAGGCACCATTATTGGTATTAGCACATAATGAACATTTACATTATACACTTGGTCCAAGTTAAATTTAGGTAAAGGAAAATGTGCACCCAATGCACATTAGAGCAATGCAGGGTGTAAAGTTTACAGTAGCCATTATTCGTCCCCTTGAATTCATAGCAAAATTCAAATAAATATTTTTTTATTTACAGGTGGTAGCAGCTTTAGTGGTGGCAGCGGTGGGATCACCGCTTCCAGACGATTGTGTACATGAAGTCATTACATACAGTGGAACGGTGCCCGTTGGGTCACCACATGCAGCATACTATGTAGCAGTCCCCGCCATTCATCATGCTGCAGCATTCCCAGCTCACCATTACCAGTCAACATATGGAGTTGGTAGCAAACCAGCTATTGTATCCTATGCTGCAGCTCCTGTAACAGGACTATCTCAACCTGTTAAACAAACCCCAGAGGTAGAGAGGGCTACTGCAGCCTTCATGGCTGCTTGGAATACAGCTGCAGCACAAGCAACTCATATTCAACAAACCCTGGTCAAAACTTCACCCTCTGGTGCCTATTCAATTGAAGTTCCCAGGCAAGTACAAGCAACAGAAGAGGTTAAGAGAGCAACAGCTGAATTTATGAAAGCATGGAATGCAGCTGCAAGACGTGCACCTGTTGTTCAACAAGCTGTTTCATATATGCCAGAGCATCAACAGCAATCTGCTGACGTCAAAGCAGCCACTACTAGATTTATGGCTGCCTGGGAAGCTGCTGCTCAACGAGCTTCAACTCTTAGGCAGGCAGTGACTTACTCTGCTGTTCCCCAACAGGTAGAGGCTACTGATGAAGTCAAAAGAGCAACAGAAGAATTCATGGAAGCTTGGAGAGAAGCCGCATCAAGAGTTCCTACCATTCAGACCACCCTATACCAGGTTACAGGTACTACACCATCCTCTGCCGTCCCAGTAATTGTTGGTGGTGTTCCCCAGTTCACTCCCGAAGTTGCTCACGCCACAGCCGAATTCACGAAGGTTTGGAATGCTGCTGCTGCAGCTGCTGCAGCAGCTCCTGATGTCAACATCATTATGGGAGCCACATCACACCCACAGGCACATGCTTCTGTATCATATGCTGTAGCTCCTATACAACATGTACATTACCAAGCACCAGCAGCTGTGTCTTATGCAGCTTCCCCTTCACACGGGGTACCTCAACCTGTTAAACCAACCCCAGAAGTAGAGAGGGCTACTGCAGCATTCATGGCTGCTTGGAATAGAGCTGCTGCACAGGCAACTCACATTCAACAAACCCTGGTCAAAACCTCACCCTCTGGTGCCTATTCAATTGAAATTCCCAAGCAAGTACAAGCAACAGAAGAGGTTGAGAGAGCAACAGCTGAATTTATGAGAGCATGGAATGCAGCTGCAAGACGTGCACCTGTTGTTCAACAAGCTGTTTCATATATGCCACAGCAACAACAGCAAACTGCTGACGTCCAAGCAGCAACTGCTAGTTTTATGGCTGCCTGGGAAGCTGCTGCTCAACGAGCTTCAACTCTTAGACAGGCAGTGACTTACTCTGCTGTTCCCCAACAGGTAGAGGCTACTGATGAAGTCAAAAGAGCAACAGAAGAATTCATGGAAGCTTGGAGAGAAGCCGCATCACGAGTTCCTACCATTCAGACCACCCTATACCAGGTTACAGGTACTACACCATCCTCTGCCGTCCCAGTAATTGTTGGTGGTGTTCCCCAGTTCACTCCCGAAGTTGCTCACGCCACAGCCGAATTCACGAAGGCTTGGAATGCTGCTGCTGCAGCTGCTGCAGCAGCCCCTGATGTCAACATCATTATGGGAGCCAGTTCACACCCACAGGCACATGCTTCTGTATCTTATGCTGCAGCTCCTGTACAGCATGGACATTACCAAGCGCCAGCAGCTGTGTCTTATGCAGCTGTCCCTTCACACGGGGTACCTCAGCCTGTTAAACCAACCCCAGAAGTAGAGAGGGCTACTGCAGCATTCATGGCTGCTTGGAATAGAGCTGCTGCACAGGCAACTCACATTCAACAAACCCTGGTTAAAACCTCACCCTCTGGTGCCTATTCAATTGAAATTCCCAGGCAAGTACAAGCAACAGAAGAGGTTAGGAGAGCAACCGCTGAATTTATGGAAGCATGGAATGCAGCTGCAAGACGTGCACCTGTTGTTCAACAAGCTGTTTCATATGTGCCACAGCAGGTACAACAAACTGCTGACGTCCAAGCAGCAACTGCTAGTTTTATGGCTGCCTGGGAAGCTGCTGCTCAACGAGCTTCAACTCTTAGGCAGGCAGTGACTTACTCTGCTGTTCCCCAACAGGTAGAGGCTACTGAAGAAGTCAAAAGAGCAACAGAAGAATTCATGGAAGCTTGGAGAGAAGCCGCATCACGAGTTCCTACCATTCAGACCACCCTATACCAGGTTACAGGTACTACACCATCCACTGCCGTCCCAGTAATTGTTGGTGGTGTTCCCCAGTTCACTCCCGAAGTTGCTCACGCCACAGCCGAATTCACGAAGGCTTGGAATGCTGCTGCTGCAGCTGCTGCAGCAGCTCCTGATGTCAACATCATAATGGGAGCCAGTTCACACCCACAGGCACATGCTTCTGTATCTTATGCTGCAGCTCCTGTACAGCATGGACATTACCAAGCACCAACAGCTGTGTCTTATGCAGCTTCCCCTTCACACGGGGTACCTCAGCCTGTTAAACCAACCCCAGAAGTAGAGAGGGCTACTGCAGCATTCATGGCTGCTTGGAATAGAGCTGCTGCACAGGCAACCCACATTCAACAAACCCTGGTTAAAACCTCACCCTCTGGTGCCTATTCAATTGAAATTCCCAGGCAAGTACAAGCAACAGAAGAGGTTAGGAGAGCAACAGCTGAATTTATGGAAGCATGGAATGCAGCTGCAAGACGTGCACCTGTTGTTCAACAAGCTGTTTCATATGTGCCACAGCAGGTACAACAAACTGCTGACGTCCAAGCAGCAACTGCTAGTTTTATGGCTGCCTGGGAAGCTGCTGCTCAACGAGCTTCAACTCTTAGGCAGGCAGTGACTTACTCTGCTGTTCCCCAACAGGTAGAGGCTACTGAAGAAGTCAAAAGAGCAACAGAAGAATTCATGGAAGCTTGGAGAGAAGCCGCATCACGAGTTCCTACCATTCAGACCACCCTATACCAGGTTACAGGTACTACACCATCCGCTGCCGTCCCAGTAATTGTTGGTGGTGTTCCCCAGTTCACTCCCGAAGTTGCTCACGCCACAGCCGAATTCACGAAGGCAGTTGGACATGCTGCTGCTGCAGCTGCTGCAGCAGCTCCTGATGTCAACATCATAATGGGAGCCAGTTCACACCCACAGGCACATGCTTCTCTATCTTATGCTGCAGCTCATGTACAGCATGGACATTACCAAGCACCAACAGCTGTGTCTTATGCAGCTTCCCCTTCACATGGGGTACCTGAACCTGTTAAACCAACCCCAGAAGTAGAGAGGGCTACTGCAGCATTCATGGCTGCTTGGAATAGAGCTGCTGCACAGGCAACTCATATTCAACAAACCCTGGTTAAAACCTCACCCTCTGGTGCCTATTCAATTGAAATTCCCAGGCAAGTACAAGCAACAGAAGAGGTTAGGAGAGCAACCGCTGAATTTATGGAAGCATGGAATGCAGCTGCAAGACGTGCACCTGTTGTTCAACAAGCTGTTTCATATGTGCCACAGCAGGTACAACAAACTGCTGACGTCCAAGCAGCAACTGCTAGTTTTATGGCTGCCTGGGAAGCTGCTGCTCAACGAGCTTCAACTCTTAGGCAGGCAGTGACTTACTCTGCTGTTCCCCAACAGGTAGAGGCTACTGAAGAAGTCAAAAGAGCAACAGAAGAATTCATGGAAGCTTGGAGAGAAGCCGCATCACGAGTTCCTACCATTCAGACCACCCTATACCAGGTTACAGGTACTACACCATCCACTGCCGTCCCAGTAATTGTTGGTGGTGTTCCCCAGTTCACTCCCGAAGTTGCTCACGCCACAGCCGAATTCACTAAGGCTTGGAATGCTGCTGCTGCAGCTGCTGCAGCAGCTCCTGACGTCAACATCATTATGGGAACCGGTACACAACCTCAAGCACATACTTCTGTATCTTATGCTGCAGCTCCTGTACAGCATGTGCATTACCAAGCACCAGCAGCTGTGTCTTATGCAGCTGCCCATTCACATGGGGTACCTCAACCTGTTAAACCAACCCCAGAAGTAGAGAGGGCTACTGCAGCTTTCATGGCTGCTTGGAATGCAGCTGCTGAGCAAGCAACAAAATTGAAGGCAACCTTAGTGAAGACTGATCATGCTATACAGCCTCCTCGTCAAGTTCAAGAGACAAATGCTGTTAGGCAAGCCACAGAAAAATTCATGTCAACATGGAATGCTGCTGCACGACGTGCAAATATTGTTGAGCAAGCTATCTCTACTCTACCTCAACAAGTTGAAGCTACTCTTGATGTTAAAAAAGCTACCGCTGAATTTATGTCAGCATGGCATGCTGCTGCAGAGCGAGCATCAACCATCAGAGACACTGTAACAACCACGACACAGTACTCGGTTCCCCAACAAGTAAAACCCACAAGTGCAGTCCAAAAAGCAACATCTGAATTTATGGCTTTGTGGAATGAGGCAGCAGATCGGGTTCCACAGATCGAGACAACCTTATACACTCTCTCTGGAACTACAGCCCTTGATCCAGCCCGTTCCCCACAACCCGTGTCTGACACACCTGAAGTAAAAGCAGCCAAGGAAGCTTTCATGGTACAATTTCGTGCTGCTGAGAGGGCAGCCGGTCGTACCTCAGTTGTCCGTGGTCTTCTTCCAGTCCCCACCGTGCTAGCTGCAGCCCCTGTCCATCATCTGGCATACAGCGGTGGCGCCCTACATCAAACTTTCTCCCTAAGTGACCGCATCTTTGCTCCTTTCTCTGGTCTCCCCATATATGTGAAGGACTGTGTTTAAATTACAAACTTGCTCTTTTGTTAGACTTTCATTCTTACACAAGTTTATATTATAATGTTGTATCCTTTCTTAAAAATGTATATGTAAATAAAGAATGCAAGATTGGAAATATTGTTTGTCTTTAATGTTGTTTATCCACAATCTATTCGAGTGCCATTTTCATGATTTGATCATAAGAATCAACTCAAGTATCATCCTTAGTCAGTTGTAGTGACGAAAACCCGTCTATTGTGACTTAGGGAAAGTTAATCGTTGCTATGTCAATGCCCAAGTGGCTTGGACCTCTTGCCTAAGATATGCTGCCACAGTGGACAGCCAGCATTCAACCAGGTTCTATTAATACCAGGTTTGAAAACACTGTTGTCTCAAAACTTGACACGAGGTATTCACTGATTCAGAGACATTCTTAGTCTTCTTACGTTTAGGAAGTATTATAAATAAGATGACGAAAACGAACACTTCATTTTTCTTAGAAATTATTGTATTCCACAAAAACTATTTAACTCTTTGACTGTTGAGTCCGACAATTCTAAGTATAGCCAATCCAAAAAGTATCGAAACGCAAAACGTCCAAAAGAATATGAAGTACCGGGGGAAGACCAACCAAACCCAAGTGATACATGACAGGGTCTGTGGTTATCACTCATTGTCTGTTCCATCGGACCCTTTGGTCTCGATACTTTTTGGATTATTTGTACTTCAATATAAGCTTATATCGCCGGTTTTCTTTTTGTCTAAAATCACATGTAATTGTGCAAAAAATAAAGTAAATTAAACTTGACTTTAAAGTAATTGTACTTTAGATGTATGCTGAAGTGCTTGTTACATTGCTTTAAAATTTACTTATAAAGATAGCACCATTTAGCATGGGCGATGATCACTCCTCAGAGGTGGGGAGGAGGGCATTTAAAAAATCCCAACGAACACGAAGTATGAAGCAGTAATTTCATAATATTTTAAGACCAAATCCATAACTCTTTTCGTTTAATTCAACTAAAAAAAATTGCCTATATGTTAAGAAACTTGCTACTATAAATAGTTTTTGAAATGATACAAAAAGATCGCACAGAGATATTATTAGGAAAAGTAATATCATGTATTTTTACTGCATTCAAAAACATACAGACCACCAAAAAGTGTGGAGGGAGGGGAGGGAAACAGTGCCGTAACCCCACAAAGAAATAATGGGGGGTAGTATTTTTCAGTTTCCACAATCGATGTCCATGTCATATACCCGCACGGTATTTCCAGAAGTGTTTATCTGATAAATAAATGTGACATGACTTACTGTACGCTGTTTGGTGGTCACTTTTTTTACAGGGATTAGCCCATCTGGGCTGGGTCACTGACCCACATCGGGGGCTAGGGGGAAAAATAATAATAATAATAATAATAATAATAATAATAATAATAATAATAATAATAAAGAAAAAAAAATCAAGAGTAGCAACAATATACTGTACAGTATGTATGTTGTGTTGTCAATAGTAAGAGAAACAATTGAGACCCTGCAACTGTGTGTAAATGAGGCAGAAAGTCAGATCAGCAACCTGGGACTTGGTCACAATTTTCGTGATGCCATATGGCAGCAGGGTCTACCATTAGACAACACATTGTGCTTCCAATATCTTCCCAGGCAGTAGCCTGTAGCACAGGGACTTATTTACATTCAATTACCTTACAATACAATTACACACTCGCTCACTTCTTTTCATATACTATATTTACATACATAATACTAGAATATGCACTACTACCAAGCTCTAACTGGAAACGTCGACGAACAAGCTATTTTCCCTAGAGGAACAGGGCAGCACGAATACCCCAAATATTGGTGGTCAATGGTGTTTTCAGGGGTGAAAGTTTTTAATACAAATATTTTTAAACATAAATAAGAAAAAAAAACATTTGTCGTGGTATTTTTGATCAGCGGGCGGTTACTTTGTCTTCTAATCAAACTAGCTTTCAACTTATATTTCCCTGCAAAAAATAAATAATTTACATATGAGCCATCGTCTTAGGTCATCAATTTCGTTATCGTCGATCAGAACACTTTAAACTCGCCTCAATAGCATCACTCTTCCGCAAAATAACATACACCTCTACCAAAATGGACCCCGGGTTTCTCCCATAATACATTGCCGAAAACAATTATCAGACTACACGGAGAAACTCTTAGTCAAAACATCCATTAGGATTAATGATCTTATAGTTAATTATTTACAAATATTTTTTTACAACTAACTATAGAACGTTTACAATAGTTTAACTTGTTGGTAGCCATTTCAGCGCTAATACAGTGTTCAATAATTAAGTGACGGCATTCATACAATAATTATGCATTTTGTTATTTATAAAATTCAAAATAATTTTTTTTTATCGCACCCCACTGTATTTGTATTCAAATATAACGCAAAAGAGGAATAGTGTTTACAATTGTTAACCTATTCAAATAAATTAGGAATCAAACTGACCGTGAAAGACCACAGAAAGATCTTTCAGCTTCAGAAATGGTCAATGGAATGGCTGTTAAGAGTCAACGTCAAGAAATGCAAGGGGAAGATTCGGAAAGACGCACAGTACCAATGGTAAGGAGGCTTATCACATATCACAACGCGATGAGGAAACACCATTAACTGAGACCAGATGTGAAAAGGACCTAGGTGTGTATATTCACAACGAACTTAAGTTCTCGGGCCATTGTGAGAAGAAGGTAAATCAAGAAACTAAGCTGCAAGTAGATCATATGAAAAGGCCCATGAGATACCTAGACGGAACGACCCTCATAACGCTCCTCAAAAGTGAGGTGCTTCCCCATTTGGAGTACTGTATTGTAATCCTGTCTGGCCCCCGAGATATGCTAGAGACTGTCAATTGATTCAGAATGTCCAAAGGAGAGCCACAAGATTAGTGCCTGCACTACAGCACCCCAGTTTCTCAGAGAGATCAGCAGGACATTACTCAGTCGAGTGCTCATACCTGGAGCTGGCGGATGCCCGACTCACTAGGGATGACAGCTTAAGACTGAAGAAGCCACAAGTTCAAAAAATTGTCAGGGCAAAAATTTTTGAAGTGAGAGTTGTGAACTCTTGGAACAGTCAGCCAAAATGTCCCGACTGTGAGCTCATGCAAAACGAGACTTAACCAAAACCGGCGCAGGTACAGATACATCCTGGAGCCAACACATACCCATTACTTACCAACAGTCCGTAACAGAGACGCGACCGATCTCCCAAGTGGCTAACAAGCTGATCAGTGGTGAAGAGGATAAAGTATAAAGCAAAGTATAGTTAAATTATTCTAGTGGTTGTGTTACTTATTAAACACCCTATATGAGAACGACGTCATACTGACCAGTGTTATCGATTTAATATTATTTCTATTAAAACTCGCTTACCACAATACAGATTTCAATTAATTCAAAACTTTATTCATATTAGTTTAAGGAGAATAAGGGAAGTCGGGGGTCCTGGGGAGGAGGGAACAAGATACCACTAACTACTGTAGATCCAGTCTTGCATTAGCGAATGAAAAAATAAACATGGAATAAATAATTAAATATTTAAACTCTGTCTATATACATCTACAGAACAAACTTGTGAATTCATTCACATCTCACGGCGTGTTAAATATTCCGCTATTTGGGAAGTTCCCGGCAGTTGAACAACGGATGCGGCACTGGCCGACGGACAGAAGGCGTGGCCAAGGAAGGGCAAGCATGGGTGGGAGGGCGGGGTTAGAGGGACAGACACGAGTAGTTGTCTGGCGGGGTATATATGGCTGTGAGGACCCAGCTGAGGCACGGCACTCCTCTTAGCTCGTCATGAAGTATTGGGTGAGCTCCCGCTATTGTTTTCTGTACTAACACTACAGTCTTAGTGATCTTATAGTGACAACCCAAAGCTGTTGTGGTGTTTAGTGACAAGTGTCTTATGGTAGTTGGATATAACATTCCAGCTTACAAACCAGAAAACAATCCTACCCATTCAACAACGAATAATACAGCACAGTGAAAGTTAATATATAAATATATATTCTAGCTTCATTTTAATGTGTCAGTGTAAATCATTTACAATCTACATTATTACATGTTTGTAAAATATAATTAACGTCAAACCAGTGTTTTATCCATCACTCAAGTGACACTCCTTCCTCTCATATATCGTATTAAGATATTTCTTAGCCTAGTGTCACCTTTTTATGACCAAAGTTTCAAATATTTGAGTGATTGACTGTTGTAGTTCATAAAGGTTCGTTTGTAACAGGTAACCGTTAACTCATTCAATAGGTTAGTCTCTGGTCAAAACGAAACCATTTTCTGTTATCAGTTCCATGACTAACGACCATAAATTACTTTTATCAGACTTACAGTTGGTCCTAGAGAGCTTTTGCGGTGTTGTGCATTGTGTTTACATTCACCCATTGTTAGCATACATTATTTAACTTGACAGTTGAATTTCACAATGCCAGACATAATATAAGTATTACACAATTTACTATTAATGAAGCCCATTTTATTATTGATGATTATATATTCCTGTACTTTGATATTTTATAGTAATTATATACTGTAAGTTCCTTTGTGGCTGACTAATATGAAGGACAATTTCTGAGAATCTCTGTTGTACACAATTTCCAACCTCCGCGTTTTCACAATAGTTCAAAACACAATCACATCATTTCTATTGCTATATTTTCTCAACACCGGCAAAACTATATCTAATACTCGACTTCTCTGATTACAAATAACCTTCTTGTATAAATCTCACCTGAAAATAACTTTGGTATTTTGATGAACTACATCCAGATTTTCTCTCTTTTACTGTTTCTTCATTATTCCTATTCATTTCTTGAAACCACTGCAGCATATCATATTTTCCTTGCGTTATTTTCAATTATTTGGTTCTTCATTTTCAACTAAATGCATGAAAGTTAGACCCAAAATTTATATTAGTAAACTTTACCTGCAGTATATTCTCTGTAGTATCCACGACTAAAGAAAAATTTTGTCAGTTGTTTATTTTATAACACAAATAAATTATATAAAAGGTGAGAGTCACAGGCACCATTATTGGTATAAGCACATAATGAACATTTACATTACACACTTGGTCCAAGTTAAATTTAGGTAAAGCAAAATGTGCACCTAATGCACATTAGAGCAATGCAAAATTCAAATATATAAAATTATATTATTTATTTACAGGTGGTAGCAGCTTTAGTGGTGGCAGCGGTGGGATCACCGCTTCCAGACGATTGTGTACATGAAGTCATTACATACAGTGGAACGGTGCCCGTTGGGTCACCACATGCAGCATACTATGTAGCAGTCCCCGCCATTCATCATGCTGCAGCATTCCCAGCTCACCATTACCAGTCAACATATGGAGTTGGTAGCAAACCAGCTATTGTATCCTATGCTGCAGCTCCTGTAACAGGACTATCTCAACCTGTTAAACAAACCCCAGAGGTAGAGAGGGCTACTGCAGCCTTCATGGCTGCTTGGAATACAGCTGCAGCACAAGCAACTCATATTCAACAAACCCTGGTCAAAACCTCACCCTCTGGTGCCTATTCAATTGAAGTTCCCAGGCAAGTACAAGCAACAGAAGAGGTTAAGAGAGCAACAGCTGAATTTATGGAAGCATGGAATGCAGCTGCAAGACGTGCACCTGTTGTTCAACAAGCTGTTTCATATGTGCCACAGCAGCAACAGCAATCTGCTGACGTCAAAGCAGCCACTGCTAGTTTTATGGCTGCCTGGGAAGCTGCTGCTCAACGAGCTTCAACTCTTAGGCAGGCAGTGACTTACTCTGCTGTTCCCCAACAGGTAGAGGCTACTGATGACGTCAAGAAAGCTACAGAAGAATTCATGGAAGCTTGGAGAGAAGCCGCATCACGAGTTCCTACCATTCAGACCACCCTATACCAGGTTACAGGTACTACACCATCCTCTGGCGTCCCAATAATTGTTGGTGGTGTTCCCCAGTTCACTCCCGAAGTTGCTCACGCCACAGCCGAATTCACGAAGGTTTGGAATGCTGCTGCTGCAGCTGCTGCAGCAGCCCCTGATGTCAACATCATCATGGGAACCAGTTCACATCCACAGGCACATGCTTCTGTATCTTATGCTGCACCTCATGTACAGCATGGACATTACCAAGCACCAGCAGCTGTGTCTTATGCAGCTGTCCCTTCACACGGGGTACCTCAGCCTGTTAAACCAACCCCAGAAGTAGAGAGGGCTACTGCAGCATTCATGGCTGCTTGGAATAGAGCTGCTGCACAGGCAACTCACATTCAACAAACCCTGGTTAAAACCTCACCCTCTGGTGCCTATTCAATTGAAATTCCCAAGCAAGTACAAGCAACAGAAGAGGTTAAGAGAGCAACAGCTGAATTTATGGAAGCATGGAATGCAGCTGCAAGACGTGCACCTGTTGTTCAACAAGCTGTTTCATATGTGCCACAGCAGGTACAACAAACTGCTGATGTCCAAGAAGCAACTGCTAGTTTTATGGCTGCCTGGGAAGCTGCTGCACAACGAGCTTCAACTCTTAGGCAGGCAGTGACTTACTCTGCTGTTCCCCAACAGGTAGAGGCTACTGAAGAAGTCAAAAGAGCAACAGAAGAATTCATGGAAGCTTGGAGAGAAGCCGCATCACGAGTTCCTACCATTCAGACCACCCTATACCAGGTTACAGGTACTACACCATCCACTGCCGTCCCAGTAATTGTTGGTGGTGTTCCCCAGTTCACTCCCGAAGTTGCTCACGCCACAGCCGAATTCACGAAGGCTTGGAATGCTGCTGCTGCAGCTGCTGCAGCAGCTCCTGATGTCAACATCATCATGGGAGCCAGTTCACACCCACAGGCACATGCTTCTCTATCTTATGCTGCAGCTCATGTACAGCATGGACATTACCAAGCACCAACAGCTGTGTCTTATGCAGCTTCCCCTTCACATGGGGTACCTGAACCTGTTAAACCAACCCCAGAAGTAGAGAGGGCTACTGCAGCATTCATGGCTGCTTGGAATAGAGCTGCTGCACAGGCAACTCACATTCAACAAACCCTGGTTAAAACCTCACCCTCTGGTGCCTATTCAATTGAAATTCCCAGGCAAGTACAAGAAACAGAAGAGGTTAGGAGAGCAACAGCTGAATTTATGGAAGCATGGAATGCAGCTGCAAGACGTGCACCTGTTGTTCAACAAGCTGTTTCATATGTGCCACAGCAGGTACAACAAACTGCTGACGTCCAAGCCGCAACTGCTAGTTTTATGGCTGCCTGGGAAGCTGCTGCTCAACGAGCTTCAACTCTTAGGCAGGCAGTGACTTATTCTGCTGTTCCGCAACAGGTAGAGGCTACTGAAGAAGTCCAAAGAGCAACAGAAGAATTCATGGAAGCTTGGAGAGAAGCCGCATCACGAGTTCCTGCCATTCAGACCACCCTATACCAGGTTACAGGTACTACACCATCCACTGCCGTCCCAGTAATTGTTGGTGGTGTTCCCCAGTTCACTCCCGAAGTTGCTCACGCCACAGCCGAATTCACGAAGGCTTGGAATGCTGCTGCTGCAGCTGCTGCAGCAGCTCCTGATGTCAACATCATAATGGGAGCCAGTTCACACCCACAGGCACATGCTTCTCTATCTTATGCTGCAGCTCCTGTACAGCATAGGCATTACCAAGGACCAGCAGCTGTGTCTTATGCAGCTGTCCCTTCACACGGGGTACCTCAGCCTGTTAAACCAACCCCAGAAGTAGAGAGGGCTACTGCAGCATTCATGGCTGCTTGGAATAGAGCTGCTGCACAGGCAACTCACATTCAACAAACCCTGGTTAAAACCTCACCCTCTGGTGCCTATTCAATTGAAATTCCCAAGCAAGTACAAGCAACAGAAGAGGTTAAGAGAGCAACAGCTGAATTTATGGAAGCATGGAATGCAGCTGCAAGACGTGCACCTGTTGTTCAACAAGCTGTTTCATATGTGCCACAGCAGGTACAACAAACTGCTGATGTCCAAGAAGCAACTGCTAGTTTTATGGCTGCCTGGGAAGCTGCTGCACAACGAGCTTCAACTCTTAGGCAGGCAGTGACTTACTCTGCTGTTCCCCAACAGGTAGAGGCTACTGAAGAAGTCAAAAGAGCAACAGAAGAATTCATGGAAGCTTGGAGAGAAGCCGCATCACGAGTTCCTACCATTCAGACCACCCTATACCAGGTTACAGGTACTACACCATCCACTGCCGTCCCAGTAATTGTTGGTGGTGTTCCCCAGTTCACTCCCGAAGTTGCTCACGCCACAGCCGAATTCACGAAGGCTTGGAATGCTGCTGCTGCAGCTGCTGCAGCAGCTCCTGATGTCAACATCATAATGGGAGCCAGTTCACACCCACAGGCACATGCTTCTCTATCTTATGCTGCAGCTCATGTACAGCATGGACATTACCAAGCACCAACAGCTGTGTCTTATGCAGCTTCCCCTTCACATGGGGTACCTGAACCTGTTAAACCAACCCCAGAAGTAGAGAGGGCTACTGCAGCATTCATGGCAGCTTGGAATAGAGCTGCTGCACAGGCAACTCACATTCAACAAACCCTGGTTAAAACCTCACCCTCTGGTGCCTATTCAATTGAAATTCCCAGGCAAGTACAAGCAACAGAAGAGGTTAGGAAAGCAACAGCTGAATTTATGGAAGCATGGAATGCAGCTGCAAGACGTGCACCTGTTGTTCAACAAGCTGTTTCATATATGCCACAGCAGGTACAACAAACTGCTGACGTCCAAGCAGCAACTGCTAGTTTTATGGCTGCCTGGGAAGCTGCTGCTCAACGAGCTTCAACTCTTAGGCAGGCAGTGACTTACTCTGCTGTTCCGCAACAGGTAGAGGCTACTGAAGAAGTCAAAAGAGCAACAGAAGAATTCATGGAAGCTTGGAGAGAAGCCGCATCACGAGTTCCTACCATTCAGACCACCCTATACCAGGTTACAGGTACTACACCATCCACTGCCGTCCCAGTAATTGTTGGTGGTGTTCCCCAGTTCACTCCCGAAGTTGCTCACGCCACAGCCGAATTCACGAAGGCTTGGAATGCTGCTGCTGCAGCTGCTGCAGCAGCTCCTGACGTCAACATCATTATGGGAAGCGGTACACAACCTCAAGCACATGCTTCTGTATCTTATGCTGCAGCTCCTGTGCAGCATGTGCATTACCATGCACCAGCAGCTGTGTCTTATGCAGCTGCCCATTCACATGGGGTACCTCAACCTGTTAAACCAACCCCAGAAGTAGAGAGGGCTACTGCAGCTTTCATGGCTGCTTGGAATGTAGCTGCTGAGCAAGCAACAAAACTGAAGGCAACCTTAGTGAAGACTGATCATGCTATACAGCCTCCTCGTCAAGTTCAAGAGACAAATGCTGTTAGGCAAGCCACAGAAAAATTCATGTCAACATGGAATGCTGCTGCACGACGTGCAAATGTTGTTGAGCAAGCTATCTCTACTCTACCTCAACAAGTTGAAGCTACTCTTGATGTTAAAAAAGCTACCGCTGAATTTATGTCAGCATGGCATGCTGCTGCAGAGCGAGCATCAACCATCAGAGACACTGTAACAACCACGACACAGTACTCGGTTCCCCAACAAGTAAAACCCACAAGTGCAGTCCAAAAAGCAACATCTGAATTTATGGCTTTGTGGAATGAGGCAGCAGATCGGGTTCCACAGATCGAGACAACCTTATACACTCTCTCTGGAACTACAGCCCTTGATCCAGCCCGTTCCCCACAACCCGTGTCTGACACACCTGAAGTAAAAGCAGCCAAGGAAGCTTTCATGGTACAATTTCGTGCTGCTGAGAGGGCAGCCGGTCGTACCTCAGTTGTCCGTGGTCTTCTTCCAGTCCCCACCGTGCTAGCTGCAGCCCCTGTCCATCATCTGGCATACAGCGGTGGCGCCCTACATCAAACTTTCTCCCTAAGTGACCGCATCTTTGCTCCTTTCTCTGGTCTCCCCATATATGTGAAGGACTGTGTTTAAATTACAAACTTGCTCTTTTGTTAGACTTTCATTCTTACACAAGTTTATATTATAATGTTGTATCCTTTCTTAAAAATGTATATGTAAATAAAGAATGCAAGATTGGAAATATTGTTTGTCTTTAATGTTGTTTATCCACAATCTATTCGAGTGCCATTTTCATGATTTGATCATAAGAATCAACTCAAGTATCATCCTTAGTCAGTTGTAGTGACGAAAACCCGTCTATTGTGACTTAGGGAAAGTTAATCGTTGCTATGTCAATGCCCAAGTGGCTTGGACCTCTTGCCTAAGATATGCTGCCACAGTGGACAGCCAGCATTCAACCAGGTTCTATTAATACCAGGTTTGAATACACTGTTGTCTCAAAACTTGACAAAGGGTATTTACTGCTTCAGAGACATTATTCGTCTTCTTACGTTGTACATCTGTATCTGTGCTAGTAATGTTCAGGTCAGTTCTATGATGAGCTTACACTTGGTGGAATTACAAGTCGCTGGCAGATTATTCCAAGTGTTTATAATTCTCACTCCGAAAATGTCTGCCGTGACAGTTTTCTACACTTGTGACTTTTGTAACCTTAATTTATTTATACTTATATCCTCTTCCCCACTGAACAGCTCGTTAGCAGCTTGGGCGATCGGTCACGTCTCTGTTACGCACTGTTGGCTAGTACTGGGCATGCACCGGCTCCTAAATGTACCTGAACCTGCTTCAGTGTTGGTCAAGTCTTGTCTTGAAAGAGCTCACACTCGGTGCCGTCACAACACATTCTGGTGGATTGTTCCAAGAGTTCACAACTCTCACTCCGAAAAAGTTTACCCTCACAGTTTTCTGGATTTGTGGCTTCTTCAATCTTGAGCTGTGACCCCTTGTGGGGCGAGCATACGCCAGCTCCAAGTAAAGACACTCGACTGAGTAATGCCCCTTGAGATGCTTATACACCTCAATTTGGTCACCCCTTGCCTGTCTGTAGTATTAGCTAGGCAAGTTCAGGCGCTCCAATCTCTCAAGGTAGCTGAGGTGCCGAAGTGTAAGCACCAGTCTGGTGGCCCTCCTTTGAACATTTTCAACCAACTGACAGTCCCTTTCTATCTTGGGGACCAGACGGGGTGACATTACTCCAGATGGGGAAGCACATCACGCTGGAAGATCGTTACAAGGGACGGACCGTCTAGATATCTGAACGACCTTCTTATAAGACCCAATAATATATTTGCCTGATTTACCTTCTTCTCGCAATGGCCCGAGAACTTCAGCTCATTGTCAACATACACACCTAGGTCCTTCTCACATTCAGTCTCAAAAAGGGGTTTCTTCATCCCATTGGGACATATGATACGCCTCCTTACCGTTGGTACGCCCCAGGTGCATCCTCTTACACTTCGTGACACTGAATCTCAGCAGCCACTTCTTTGACCATTCTTGGAGCCCACAGAGGTCCTTCTGTAGCTCTTCACAGTCCGCTTGGTTCTTGATTTCCCGAAATAACTTGGAGTCATCGGCAAACATTTGTATGAAGGAGTGTACAACGTCACGCATGTCATTTATGAAACAAACAAACAACAACGGACCCAATACACTGCCCTGTGGTACCCCACTTATGACAGGTACGGATGATGATTTCGTGCCATTAATCACCACACATTGCTTGCGGTCATGCAGAAAGTCTTCTATCCACGCTGGGACATTTCCCCAAATTCTGTACCCTTCCAGTTTGATTTTCATGCTTATGTGGGGTACACTGTCGAAGACCTTTGTAAAATCTAGGTAAATATGTCCACAATATGGGTCCAAATACCCAATACCTTGAGCAATTGTGTTAAGCAGGAGCACCCCGGCATAAAACCGTGTTGGCAATCCTTTACAAGGATGTTTCGTAGATGTTCCATCGCGGCAACTTTGATAATACTCTCAAGTACTTTACATATTATGCTGGTCAGGCTCACCGGTCTATAGTTGTTCTTAGAGTGACGATCGCCCTTCTTGAAGTGAGGACTCACATAAACCACTTTCCATTCACTGGGGACCTTTTGTTCATCCAGGCATTTACAAAACAGGATCTTCAGGGGCTCGGCAAGCTCGTTGCACAACTCTCTTAGCACTTTAGGACGCACCATGTCAGGGCCGGGACTCTTATGGACCTTTAGCTTTGACAGTTTATTTCTAATACCCTCTTCTGTGAACACAACTTCAGTTAAGTCACCCCTTGCCCATATATAGTATAAGCTAGGCAGTTGCAGGCGTTATAATCTCTTTGGATAAATGAGGAGCCGTAGGGCAGGCACCAACCAGGCTGGTGGTCCTCCTTTTGACATTTACAAATAACTGAGAGTCTCTAGCATATCTCAAGGACCAGACGGGGTGACAGTACTCAAAACGGAGAAGCATCTCACTCTTAAAGAGTGTTATGAGGGACATACGGTCTTCATATCTAAATGGCCTTCCTATAAGATCTACTAGCTTTGTTGCTTGATTCACCTCTTCTCACAATCGATCAATAACTTCAGTTCATTGTCTACATACACACCCAGGTCCTTTATACATTAATGCCATTCCTTTGTCCCGTCGGGATATGTGATACGCCTCCTTACTATTGGTACGACCTAGGTGCATTCTCTTTACACTTCGTGACATTGAATGTTAAAAGCCATTTCTACGGCCTCTCTTGAAGCTGGCAGAGATCTTTCTGCAATTCTTCACAGTCCGTCTGATTCTTATTTTTTTCTGAATAACTTGGCAATATCCGTATACATTTGTAAGGAGTGTATAGCTTCTGGCATGTCATTTATGAAACAAGCGAACAACAATGGACCCAAGACTCTTAGTTACGTTCATAATTTTTTCGGCTCATAGAGGGATATTAACAAACAGGTTCAATTAAATACATTAGTTAGAATAGAGTGTCTTAACTTTCAACAAATACAAAATTGAGATGAAATGACATTTAAAGTAAATCATAAATCTTTATTGGCTCTCACACAACCCACTGTTCATTGTGTTAATAATAAAACAAATGGTTTTGGATGTCCCAGTGACCCTAAATATAATTCACAATATACAACTTTGTTCACTGGATGTCAGTAGTTTTAGTAAGTTACCACAAACAACCATTTTCATATGACCCCGGTACGCTAATTTAAATGGCACTGGCAATTCAGTGTTAAACGGCGTTTTTCAAATGACCTTCAGTAATTGTCAAACATTTATGGATGTTGGTTAGGCCACTAAAGTAAAATTTAAAGTTGCTGACAATTTCACATGACTACTGTAATGAAGTGAGGCTACACTTACACTTGAACCCATGTCTTCTATCTTGTTATGTGTGTATGTACATATGTTATGTTTCTTAGCATTGGGTTTAGTTTTCTTGGGGTTATATTATATTAGTAATTTTCATTGTTCCTTCACTTACAGGAATATTCTTTTGTTCTCTTCCAGATGCCATACTACCCTTGGTCAGTTATATGAACAATAAAGCCTTTTTTTCACCACAACTACTTAATTTTCAAAATCTTTGTTGAATATGTACATACCTTCTTAATCCAGTTGTATTGACTTAATCCACGATGTCTTGACACTTGCAATGCTGAATGAGACCTTCAACTATGCAATAGCAACACTATACTATACTGTACTAACACATCCGTGGTGCTTCTGGTTCATCTCTTATACTGATGACTGTCCTGCGGGAAACTATTCTTTTACAACAAAATACTGTACCAGGTATGTTTTTGTTTTTTTTCAAATAAAGAATGAAAGTTGTTTACTCCACCAATAATTATTTTTATCTTGTCCGAACTTGATGACTGAATTTTACCGACGAAAACGAAAGTAAACGAAGGAAGATAATTACGTACAATGATATGGACTGTAGACAAAAGAATGCCATGTTAAAATATGATTTATTAGTGTTACGAGTTGGGGATTTAGAATATAGTTAAAGGTCTACCCAGATCCCAACAGGCAACAACAATTAAAAAAACAAAGACAATCGGACTATAAAAGGGTAGACAAAGGATGCGAGTTTGTGTTGTGTATAATAAAGTACCATAAATTCCTTAACCAAATATTCAGCTTTCTATAATTTACCCTTAACCATACTTAACCTAAACATTAACAGTATATGCATATTTATACAACATAAACAATCGTGAAGCAAGGTGGAGGTGGGAGGTAATATACGATTACAAATACTTAAGTGTGGAGCTGAGATGGCTGCCGAGTAAGGCTGAGTATTGTAGAAGACGGTAGGTAGTCGGTAGGTAGTCACTGTGCCGTAGGTTTCCAGGGTAGGTGATCCTGTGGTCACTTCCCAGAGTGTACTGAACTCTCCTCGAACTCGAGCTGACAAAGAAGACTTGGAGGAGGTGACGCAATAACCAGGATATGGAGAAGGGAAACCCAGGAGTGGTAACTAAGACGAGTCATACTCGTGTTTCGTCCCTAGATGGCGTTGCTCGTGGTGCTGGGTAGGTAGATCAGGACAATAGATGGCGTGGTTCGTAGTGCTGGGTAGGTAGATCATGACAATTGGTGGAGGGGTTCGTAACATTAGTTTTCTTTCTTTGATTACTTCCATTCCAGTTTTAACTCATTGATGCCCAGATAGTCTAAGATTTTCCACATTCTTTTTGTTGGCAAAAATAACCCAAAAGGACCCCCAAAGTCATGTGGTAACAGTGATAAGCATACCTATAAGTCCTTGCATGGTTTAAAGGTCCCAGGCAATCAGGCATTGTCATGCATGCAGCGTCATTCAGAGGTGCCAACATGTCTACTACCACGTCCACTTCCTTAGGTTATTTACTTACCAATACTGTATAACTATAAAATTAGTTCTATAAGCTCCTCCCCGACTTACGACGGGGTTAGGGACCCAAATCCAGGTCATAAGTCGAAATGGTCGTAAGTCGAAAATGATTAAATAATACATAGAAAATCTAAAATGGGTGTCTCTTTTTCTTCTCAGCACCACAAAACTCTCTCTTTTAAGCTTGCCAGCCATTTTAAAGTGAATTACAAACGAAAATTTTGTCAGTACAGTACACAGCGCAATCACTAACGTTGGGACTCGAAAATACGTAATTTGACCAAATTTTGGTACAACTCAGGCGGTCGTATATATATGAAAATCTATTTTTATTTATATAATATGCTCTACATGACTACCATTCTGTTGAAAACACTCTTCAATGCGTGTCCTCCACTGCTGAAGAACACGTTCAAGCACAGCTGGAGTTATGCTTGTAATGGCGTTGGTGATACGTTGTATGGAAACTTATGGGACACCCTGTATATATATATCTATATATATATATATATATATATATATATATATATATATATATATATATATATATATATATATATATATATATATATATATATATATATATACTGTATATATAACTCCTTAACTAAATTTCTTACATTATTTCTATCAATCTGCTATTCAACAAATTAGATTAGCAGTTAAGATAATTCTACAGCTCTGGAACCACAGAAGCCTATGAAACCCTAGTTTAATGTGACATAAACTACATTAGTGACGAACTGGCGTATGACAAAGGATGACATAATTTATGTCAGCGACCATTAAGAGGTTAAAAATTCAATCATCAAGATTGGACAAAGCACTTTTTATGAAATATACATAATTTTTATTCAGATATAATGCACAGCAAGAATACCGTTTACACTTGAATAAAGAATAACCACATCAATAATAATATAACTATTTAGTCTACACCAGACTTGACCAAGACTGGTGTAGGTTCAGATACATTCAGGAGCCAGTACATGCCCAGTACTACCCCATAGTGTGCAAGAGAGACGTGATCGGCCAACCACCCAAGCAGTTATCGAGCCGATCAGTGGGGAAGAGGATAAAAGTAAAGTATTGGTTGTGTTACTTATTAAACACCCTGTATGAGACCGATGCCATATTGAGCACAAATAGGCACCAACCTGACATTATTATGTGTTGTACTATAACTCACTTACCATAGAACAATTTTTAATTTATAACTTTTTCATACCAAATTAAAGAAAATTTAATGCAGAGTTCACATATCATACTACCCATCCTTAATGTTGGTCTGCTGTATCATCTATGTTAAACCATGGAAAACTATTTAAGAAGAATTAGCTTGATTCATGCACTGGTTATTGAAAGGAGGTGCTACAAAAGGAAGGACTAAATTAAAAGGAAATAGGGATAAATATGGTAATCACAAACAAATATAAAATATTTTAATTCATAATGAATCATGGAGGGGTTTACAAACAAGACATCTAAGTGAACTAATGACAAACTACAGAGATACAATAACTATATGATAATGTAAGTCTTACCTACTGATCTTACCAGACACTGCAGAGGCATTCACTGACGACATGGTTGCTCTTATTATATTTTCACAAAAGATTTCAGCTTCATAAATTTCTGGCTAGCTATATTATTTCCATTCCAGTAAACTAAATATTTTTAGGTAGCCGGCACTTTTGTCAACAGTATTTCATATATGTACTGTAACTTCTTGATTACAATAAAGTTAACCGTGGTGTCCTCTGCATCTTTTCATTCTTGATTATATAACAGTAACCAGTAAAGTATAATGTTCTAAGTTAAAGTTGCAACACAATAAATTTCTCTAATTCACAACGCTGTTCAGCGCCTTTCTGTAAAACTGAACTTGAGTGGTTGCGAGGGAGTGAACACTAGCTTGCACACCATGTCAATATCTTCATACTGATAGTCAACTGTGAACCGCTGCATAACCTAAAAAAAAATATGATTCTTTTATTAATGAACATCTGTGTTTAAAGGGTGAGTAACTTTTTCTTTTAAGCATAAACTACCACTTTTAGGTTGAATGAAAGTATGAAAGTGGGTCACATATCATAAGTCTGATGGCCTGTTGGGGGGTGAATGGAAATAAAAGTTACAGAAAAGTCAGTTTCATCTACGAAAATTTATATTGCATTTAAATACCATTAACAGGTTAAGTTTGTTTTTGTTCCATTTGATTAGGTTGCATTGGGTAAGGTTGGCTGGGTTTGGTTGGCGGGTTAGGTTGAGTTAGACTGGCTGGGTTAGGCTGGCTGGGTTGGGTTAAGTTGGTTGGATAGGGTTGAGTTCAGTTTTGAATGTTTTCTAGCTTGACCAAACCTAAGTCACCCCCATTAGTCTCTGATTAGACACTGCAACTTTTTTTCTGTAAATTTTTTCCTACAGTCCATCCCTTAAAGAGAGAAGTGTTTCACAGTTTGGGGTATTCTCTGGTCCCCGAGCTGTGCTAGAGACTGCCTAGCTTATTGTAGGAGACGGGCGACTTAATAGAAGTTTATAAACATCTTGAGTGTTCATAACTGGAGCTGGCAGATGCCCTCCCCATGAGGGGTGACAGCTCAAGGGCACACTTTTTCAAAGTGAAAATTGTAAGCTTTTGGAACAATCTGCCAGAGTGCGTTGTGATGGCACCGAATGTGAGCTCATTCTAGACCAGACTCGATCAACACTGGCACAGGTACATATATATTCTGGACCCAGTGCATGCCCGGAACTTGCCAACAGTGCAGAGATGTGCTTGACCATCCAAGTGGCTAATGAGCCGATCAGTGGTAAAGAGGATAAAAGTAAAAGTACACTAAGCCAGCCTTTTGAAGTTGACTTTATGAACAGTAATTACTGCCTCACTTACTATGATTTACACTTCACAATGTGGGAAATGTCCTCAAAGAGAAAGGAATATAAGAGAAGTTTGATGAGCTGAAGGAATTTGTGAACACTTAAAATTTTGAGTTTTTTTTTATTCACAATAAACCACAATGATGATGTGGCACCTGCTTTCCATTGTTCTGTCTATTGTCTAAAAAATACTTCTATCATCATCTATCTTTTCATCAATTTGTATATAATTTTTCCCAATGTATACAACTGTTACACTATAGTTGACATATCAGTGGCTTACCCTTGTAAGGAAGGTGTACATTTCCTGTTCAGCAATGCGTCGACCAATACACATCCTGGTCCCAGCACCAAAGGGGAGGAAGGCATAAGGATGAATGGGCCCCAGAGGCTTGTGTCGTAGCCAACGCTCAGGAATGAATTCTTTTGGTCGAGGGAACAGTGACTCATCCAAATTCATTACCCTAGAAATGGCGAAAGCTGCCCACTGTAAATAATACAAAAAAATATTAAACTCTTATTCTGTGTATAGGTACTTCGTTGTTTTAGGTTAAAATATGATAATCTACCTATGTCCAAAAAATCTTAGAAGGTACCATTAAAAAAATGAAGTTTACAAACCCCTTTAGGAACTAGGAATCCACTGAGCACGACATCCTTATCCAAAGTTCTGCCCACGCCAATCACTATTGGGAAGATCCTGAAGAAAGAAATGAAAACATATTCAAACAAGCAGGGCAAATACTAAGGACAAAGACACCAATTATTCCAAACATAACGCAAGTGTATATTCAACCAGGAAGGTGGATGGTGGGAAAATGGGAGAACTCCTGCATCTAAATACAGTACAAATGTAATAATGATTCAAGAGCTAAGACTCTTATGACTTTAGACATACTGTATATTTTTTTACTTGGATGTTTATATATTTATTTATCATCTTATCACTTATCATCTTATGTACTTGTTGTTTGGGAGGTTGGTCTGTGCTTGGTTGGTACAGTACCTTCATTGTCCAGTATTATTGAAGGAGGAAACCAGAGTACTGTACAGTACCCAGAAACATGCATCATAAGCCCTACTGGCTGCCACTTTTAATAATACAGTATACTGTACTGTATTCAACTGTATTTGACGAATGCCAGACAATTTTATTCAGCATAGAAAGATCCCTCATACCCAAGGAGTCATTAATACATCAACCACTGCACCCAGAGTACAGTACAGTATATGCTATCTGAATTTACTATGAGCAGACCAGCAGTGAAGAGGACAAAGTAATGTATATAAAAGTCTGTTTATTCATCTCTTAGAATACTGTATCCAGAGAACACTTATAAAACCTTAATCACCCCGACTTACCTTAACAGTGGTCTTCAGGTTATCAATCAAGCAATGAATACAAATGACCCTTTAGGAGTGAAGAGCTGAGTGAAGTCTACAAATAGAAGAATGAAGTATAAAATTCCACTTATAACTGAGGTGATGCAATAGGTGATCTATAAGAGAAAACCCAGACCACTTAACACCCGGTCTAAGCCCTTTGAGAGGACCCATATTTTAATACTTTTACTTACTTTTATCCTCTTCATCACTGATCGGCTCGCTAGCCGCTTGGGAGATCGGTCACATCTCTGTTACTTTTCCTTTTCTTTTATCCACTTCACCAAACGATCGACTCGTTAGCTGCTCGGGCGATCAGTCATGTCTGTTACGCACTGTTGACAAGTACTGGCTATGCTGACTAAACCACCAGATAATGTTTTGCTATTACCTGTAATAACTTTTCTCACCCAATTGATTCAGAGTCAATCAGATCCCAAATGAACCAATGAATTGAATTGAAGTCCACTAAAAGATTCAAATGTTGACTCAGATTCACTTCGTTAGATGTAAAGTAGAATTTATACGTGACCTCCTCAGTAACTGTCAATTAAAACCTCCATAAAGACAAGAGGGTTGTTTCCAAGACATTTGCTTTCTCCCCAAATTCATAACATAGGATTGTTGTACCTATAGGTCACTTCAGCTTCAGGTGGCCACCCCACTACAGGTCACAGCCTCAAGTTAAAGAAGCTAACAATAGAGAAACTGTCCGAGCTAACTTCTTTCGAGTAAAAGTTGTGAACATGTGAAATAACCTGCCAGAGAATGTTGTGACAGCACCAAGTATGAGAACCTTTAAGACCAGACTTGGCCATTGCTGGCACATATTCAAGTACATTCAAGAGTCCATACATGCCCTGTACTATACTTGCCAAGAGCGTGTAACAGAGAACAAACTGACTTGCCCAGCCAGCTAGTAAGCTAATAGGTGGTAACCGGTGATGATTGAAAAAATACAAATTGTGAAGTACAGTACAGCTTGTTGTAAGAACATGTGAGACACAAGATAAAGAGGTCTTGTGCTATAAGGTGAAAGGGAGATGAATATTATCATTCATGTTATACAAGCTACCAATTGTCCTGTCTTCTCCCTGTGAGTCTTAATGTGCACATGTATATGCTACACGCAGGAACAATGTTTTCACAACCTCTATTGTTTTTTAAATATCTTAATTATTAAAAATTCATGTTAGCTAATAGCATACTGAAGAGGAAAGTACAGAAAAATATACAGACAATATAATATCTTCCCTTACCTAATCCTCACTGATTTAAATTGGATCGAATTAAACCGGAATCAATTGTGTAGAAAAGGCTACTTGTAACTGAATATTGCTTGCTTAGTGAGTTTAGATGGTGTACTTGCAACTTAACTATGGGCCCTCCTCAAAGGGCCTAGAATGGGCATTTAGCAGTTAAACTCTTTCTTGTAGGTCATAAGGGTATATATTATGATACTGTACTATATTTGTTTAAGTTGACACTTCCTGATTATATGTTAAAATTCCAAAAATCTTGTCAGTCATCAAATAAATTTGTTATTCTATTTCTTTCACTAATCATTTATAAACAAACACTGATTAGCACAAGCCTTACCTCATGGATTCTTTGATGACAGCCTTGAGATAGGAAAGTTGAGCCAAGTGTTTTGGAGTGAGTGGCCCCTGGTGGTCCCCAAGTACTGTGTCCACCTCCTCCTGGAGTCGTGCCTGTACCTCTGGGTTTCGGGCTAGCAAGTACAAGGTGAAACCCAGTGTGTGTGAGGTCTGAGGGAATCATAAATATGAAAATTTACTGAACTATAATTTAAAAAATACCTGAGGATAACATATACAATACATAGGAAATATTTTTCTAATTTTATTACAGTAATAAGGTTCCAGTCATGGTTGTGTCATTAACAAGGCCAGACCTTGAAGGGAAAAATAAAAAGAATGGAATAAAGTAGTCTAAGACTCTTTTGATGAAGGAAAACTTCTTTGTAAAGAGTTCCAAAGTTTAATGCTAAAGTTTGTAAAAAAATATCAGACTTTGTTACTTAAGTAAAAGTATTGTTACATTGGCAAAATGTTACTAAAGTAGAAGTAAAAAAGTATCTCATTCACAAAGTACTCACATACTGAAAGTAAAAGTAACAACAAAATTATTAATCATCTCAAATATTAAAATAAATCTGCAGTAAATTATAACAAAAATAGTTAACTAAAACTAAGAATAAAAGACATATTACACATACAGTATATATTTGCAAATCTTTCTTTTGAGACTACAGTAACCAATAACCAATTCTCAAAATTATGGCCATAGTTGAAGTCCCCCGTGATAAGGAGGTGGCTGTTGTAAATCGAAAAGTTGCGAATTCATATTCAAGGAAAGTTGTTGGAGCTTCCAATAACTTGCTGACAAAAACCTATGACTCTTCAGGCTTCTACACCCTTGACAAAAAACCTATGACCCTTCAAGCTTCTATGCCCTTAACTCATGAGACATAAAGGCAAGCATGAACTTAGCATGCTTCCCAGATGGGAGCTGTAAGCGCTTCTGAGCATCACCTTGCACAGGATGTAGGGGGGTGCCAAAAAAAATAAATAAAAAAAAAATAAAAAAAAAATCTATAGTGCTATCATAAAATTGCGCAGATGGCATCCATATCATAGTAGCAGGTAGTTGTCTGGCTGCCCACCTGGGTTTAGTGGCGTCCTGATCGTTTGTTTACTGTGCATCAGCTGTTGGAAATGGCGTGTGGTGTTGTGTTCCTTTTAATTATAATGGAATTTACTGTTTTATTATAATCTCTATGTTAAAAAAGTTTACCAAACATGAATTTCAGTAGGAAATATTAGCAGCAGGCCACGGGAGTTATGCTAAGTGATGCACAGCGAGTGTTAGGCAGGCTGTTCCACTTGTTTACCACTCTGTAGTCAACTACAGCATCATCCAAGTTGCTTCACAGTGTACCAAAGGCTTAATATACTGTACCTGTACTGTATGCTATAATCACACCATGGTATTCCCAATAAATAATCAGACTTATTGGACCCGCTTTCACTAAAATTATGTCACATGGCTATGCTGCAGTAATAACAACAAAATATATATTTCTGGAAAATATCCCCTCCCAATGCTTACGGTATCAATGCCAGCAAAGAGCATGTCAAGGATGAGTGTGACAACATCTTTACGGGTCAGTCCTGGCTTGAGGAGAAGTGCCTCCATGAGCGTCAGTTCCCGGTCATCATCAGGAGCCTGGGCTAACAATGAAGCTTCTGTCTCGCGTATATTCCGGTCTGCCAACCTGCTCAACCAAGAAGATTTGCATTACGTTGTGAACACTTAATAAAGCAAATACCACTAAAAAGCTGACTCTAGACAATTAACTGGTAATTAATTGACATCAAATTATACAGTACTTACTTTAATGAAGAAACCTATGATAAAAGTGCCTTGCTAGATTATATTAGTCTTAAATTTCTAAAATTATGCATAATATAATGTTCCCCATCATCTCATAACATAATCAACTTTGCAAAATCATTAAACGAAGCATGAAAATATAAAATTACTATACAGTACTACTGTATGTACAGTAATTGGGTGTCTTATACTGCATTGTAAAACGGTACTGTACTGTATGCTGTTATGAGTAATTGTTGAAAATAATAGCTATTCAGTAAAACTGCCATACAGGTTTACAATTGGATGGGCATGTATCTATACTAAGTAGTTATACAGTTCAGAATCAATATAAACAATATAGGTACAACATAGTGTGCATTTTCCTATGTACCTAGACAGTGTAGGTAAACAACAAGGTAAACAGTAGGGCAATTTGACCAAGGACAGTCAACAAAGCTGTCAGGCGCTCTTTTTACACATGATTTAATATCTGTTGTGAATCCAGGCATAAAGCTGTGAGGTTAGGTTAGGTTTATCATTATAATACTTACGTTAAAAGAAAACCACTTTATAATGACATCATCTCAGTTACCCAGAGATATTAGAATGGTGCAACTGCCTAGCTTATACTATAGATGGACAAAGGATGACCTAATTGAAGTTTATAAACATCTCAGGGGGTTCTACTGTACTCAGTCGAGTGTCCATACCTGTAGCTGGAGGACGCCCACCCCACAAGGGGCCACAGCTTACAGTAAGTTGATGAAGTCTCAAGTCCAGGAAATTGTGAAGGCAAACTTTTTCAGAGTAAGAATTGTAAACGCTTGGAACAATCAACCAGCGAGTGTTGTGACAATACTGAGTGTAAGCTCTTTCAAGGCCAGACTTTACCAACATTAGCACAAGTACATAAACATTCTGGAGCCAGTACAGACCCAGCAATTGCCAACAGTGCGTAACGAGACGTGGCCGACCAATCTCCCAAGCGGTACATGCCAATCAGTGGCGAAGAGAATAAAAGTAAAATTATCTAAATTCTTTACATTTTACACAATATTTTTATTACTTATATAGAGATCGAAGATTTGTTAATTTATCAACATTCAATTAATATGTGATTCAGTACTTTGGGTCTGGTAACATGAGAATAAAACACTTACTTTAAGAATTCCTCGTGATTATTCTTGAGTTTTTTGTAAGTTGGGGTTGGAAACACCTCCCAAATATGCAAATTGAACTCTAGGTGATTAATATCAATAAATATTTCGTTTACCAAATTAATTAGTTTTATTGGCTCCGACTCCTCTGTAATGTTTGGGTCAAGACAACCTAAGCGGCGGTTCAGTGCTACAATACCAACAGCTGCAAAAAAGAAACATTGCCGTTACTTATGAGTGGTACTGTATTAACTTATATTGTTATACTGTAGGTAATAAGTAGTAGGCAGCTATCAAACAGGGAGGTACTACTGCCTGGGAAGATATTGGAAGCATAATGTAATGTCTAATGGTAGACCCTGCTGCCATATGACATCACGAAAATTGTGACTAATGTCCCAGTTTGCTTATCTGACTTTCTGCCTCATTTACACACAGTTGCAGGGACTCAATTCTTTCTCTTAACCTTGACAACACAACATTTGTATATTGTGTCTCACTTTTGACCTTTTTTTTTATTTGTTTATTGTTCTTTATTAGTATTAGTATTAATACAGTGCGGTTATTAATATTATTGTTATCATTATTATTTAATTTCTAATTTTGTATTTTTATTATAAATTTGATTTACTGTACTATGAATTATTATTATTTAATTTTAAATTTTTTATTTTTATTATAAATGTTATTTACTATGATTTATTATTATTATTATTATTATTATTATTATTATTATTATTATTATTATTATTATTATTATTATTATTATTATTATTACCTGTATTATTATTATTATTATTATTATTATTATTATTATTACATTTTCGTCCTTCAGGCCCCGATGTAGGTCACTGACCTGTGCCCAGGTAGGCTAAAGCGCGTAAAAAATATAAATTTAAATAAAAGAATGGAGGAACAACCTTATCCACATGCAGGGTATCAACAATAATCTTACTATTCATACAAAGGAATGACACCAAAAATATTCGTCATTAAAAAATCAATAAGACCACTAATTCACACTAACTCTGTTGGACTTACGTACATTCAAGAGCCCACTTGTAGATTTCATTCTGAAAGTCACTTGGCATTTCTCCGTGCTGTGATTGTAGGTAAGCAATTCTGAAGGGAGAAAAAGCCAAATTTATGATCAACACTACAGTACTTAACAAACTTATATAAAACACAGTTTAAAAACTGATGATTAAATAACCACCATGTATTTTATTCCCCAAGATTCTTAACATTATTGTACAGTATATATTTCTGAATACTGTACTGTATTAATAAACAAAATAAGGACATCACGTAACAGACTGATTTAGCTGAAATGTGTCATTTGGGTAAAGAATTAAAAAAATAAAAAAATTAAAGGTTGAGAAATTATGGAGCTAAATAACTGGTATCCCCTGACATTTTGCAACAAAAGACAAATGAGAAATAAGATTACTGCATTGCACAGTGTTTCTAAGTTATTCATCCTTGCACTGCAGATTCTACTAATTTTTTTTTAATTATTTCCCTCTTGGAATCGGTGAAACACTCTGACTCATCATCACTTTTCTTTGCCATTTTAATTGACAAATTACCATTACTAAATTTGTTGAAAAATTATAAGTGGGTTAAAAATGGACAGGCAAACATGCAAGATTTTTGTCCCTTGCCTTTGTTAATGATGTGCCCTACCCAATGAGGCCTGACACAACTTTTGCCTCTTGTAGTCACGGGTTGGAGAGCACGGTAACTTTTTTTTTGCTGAAATGACCTGAACAGATGCCTAGTGTTGACAGAAGCATTGTAGTGCAGTGTCAATGATTTTATTGTTGGAATTATCAAAGTTTTCAGTCAATATTTGTGGATTCATCTGTGATCTTCAGTGGTGCCATATAGAGTACAGTAATTAATGTTTCATAAAGATATTCTCATTGGTACAAAGGTTTGAGAATAAATATGAAAATGTTACTGTATAATAATGCCTTTGTCCCATCCATTAACCTGTGAATCCGAGACACCACATATTGTTGGGCCAATAGATGATGGGAGGTACTAAGGAAGGGAGGTACTAAGGAAGGGGTTATTAAGGAAGGGAGGTACTAAGGAAGGGAGGTACTAAGGAAGGGAGGTACTAAGGAATGGAGGTACTAAGGAAGGGGGTATTAAGGAAGGGAGGTACTAAGGAAGGGAGGTACTAAGGAAGGGAGGTACTAAGGAAGGGGGTATTAAGGAAGGGAGGTACTAAGGAAGGAGGTACTAAGGAAGGGAGGTATTAAGGAAGGGAGGTACTAAGGAAGGGAGGACATGAAGGGAGGCACTATGAAGGGAGGTACTGGACTAAGGAAGGGGTATCAAGGAAGGGAGGCACTAAGGGGAGGCACTAAGGAAGGGGTACTAAGGAAGGGAGTATTAAGGAAGGGAGGTATTAAGGAAGGGAGGTACTAAGGAAGAGGGTATTAAGGAAGGGAGGGAGAGGGGTACTATGGGAGGGAGAGGGGTACTAAGGGAGGGGGGAGGAGAGGGGTACTAAGGGAGGGAGAGGGTACTAAGGGAAGGGAGGGAGAGGGGTACTAAGGGAGGAGAGGGGGGTACTAAGGGAGGGAGGGGAGGGAGGAGGGAGAGGGGTACTAAGACAGGGAGAGGGGTACTAGGGGAGGGAGGAGAGGGTACAAGGGAGGAGAGGGGGGGAGGTACTAAGACAGGGAGAGGGGTACTATGGGAGGGAGAGGGGTACTAAGGGAGGAGAGGGGTACTATGGGAGGGAGGGGTACTAAAGGAAGGAGGGGTACTAATGGAGGAGAGGGGTACTAGGGAGGGAGGGGTACTAAGGGAGGGAGAGGGTTACAAAGGGAGGGAGAGGTGTACTAAGGGAGGGAGAGGGGTACTATGGGAGGGAGTGGGGTACTAAGGGAGGGAGAGGGGTACTAAGGGAGGGTGTATTGAGGGAGTAACCATAAAGGTGAAGTGTGACCTCCCTTACCTTTCCATGAAGTCGAGAGTAATCTGATCCATCTCGGGTAAGTATGAAACCACGTTCTTTGGCTTCATCATAGAGGTTTGAACACGGCTACGGACGCGCCACCATTCCTCTCCATTTCTGGAAAAATATTATTACATTAATAACTTGTTCAGTTCTAAATAAGTAACGTATTATAAAAATTTAACAAACATGCTTTTAAACTAATCAGCATTATATACATCACTGGTATTTTAATATGCATTTAATATCAGTATACTTATAATGCTTACTCTGACAGTAATCCAGTTTTATGATTGAAGTAATTGTCAACAGCGTTTTGCCTAATCTTCTTAAGAGAATGAAACCCATCCCTGATAGGGTTTTCCATTGTAGCTCGTAACATAATCTCGCAGTCATCAGGGTTCACTATAATAACCGCTGGAGGATTGAATGGGGAGTGAATTTGTACGATTGGGCCATACATTTTAACTATTTTTTCAAAATAGTGGTGAAGTTGTTTGCTCTTGAAGGCTGCAAAGAAAGATAAATAATTATCAATTAATCAAAACAAACCTATAAACAAATTCCACGACACAAAGGAATATCACAGGATAAAATTATATGAAAGGCTTCCAAGACTTGAAACTCAACAGTCAACACAAGAAAAAAGTGTCACGTTTATTACTCTGCTTACAAATTAGTCATATAAGTTCTCTACATTCTACAACATACAGTCATCAATAAGCATGGATGGCACGGTCCCCAAAATAGGATACTTCCGTGGTCCTGGGACTTCTGATACTGGTCTTGCTGCGACTTTCTGCTCCTCTCCTATAATTCCTTCTGCCTTTGCTGCTACTTGGTTTGGTGCAGCTGTAACGGTGAAAGCTCGGGCCTGCAGAATTGAGGAGCACCTCAGGGCCTGCACTGCCCTACACCTTAGCACGCTCGACATGTTCTGCAGAAAAAAAATACGAAGTTGATGACGTAATAATGTATTATTGCGCTTCAGCAATTAAACAACTATGGTCTTTAAGTGTGTACTCTTGATTAGAAAATGCACTGATCATCAAAAATAAAAACTAAGGAGATAAAGTGTACCTATGTTTTAAGGGTTACATGTGACGAGATAAAACGATATCGTTATTACACTACCTCTATAGGATACAGTTCCGTTTTTTGTCTGTCATGTACAGTAGGACAGTCTACGTTTTCACGAATCACACAAAATGTTATTACAGAAAGGTCTGAGTCATCGAATTTAAATTCACTGCAACCACATTAATCAATATGGAGAGCAAGATTCTAAACTTCACACAATACTCCACACCCCACACATGGAACAAGGTTTTTCAAAAGCGGGGGGGTGGTCTTTTTTCTCTCCCTATTGAGATTGATTGATTTGTGGAATTTAGGCCCAAAGTCAAGCACTGGAGCCAATAGGCTTTTCAAAGCTGTATGACAATTAGGGGATTTCCCTCATATCAACAACAATTAAAACAAAAACAGCTGATGCTTCGTCCTCTCCAGTTATCGTTGCCGCCCCTTGTCGACAAGCGGAGAGGGCTAACGGAAAATAATAATAATAATAATAATAATAATAATAATAATAATAATAACAATAATAATAATAATAATAATTTAGCTCAGTTTCCACCAAGGGACCGCTGGACACAGAAGCATACAAGGCTACATAACACATGCCTTAAATTAAAAACTATTTTACACATTATCATATTACTTGTACTATATCCGAATTTGACCTGCAGTCAACTAGGATACGGTTGGCTGTCAGGTCAGAGTGACAGGAGTTGCAGCGAGGGGCCTCTCACTCAACTCCACCCTTAAACATACTGTATACAGTAATTATGTGTGGTGGGAATGGCCAATCCTCAACCTCGTTAAAACAATACCACTCTTGTTGGGGGAAAAAAGAAGACGATCACGGTTGAATGGCTGGCAGTTTAGTGTTTGTTGTCAGGGTCGACCAACGTTCTAGCCACTTTCCAGCAGCAAAAATAGTGGATTTCGAAATATAAGAGACCCAAAATAAAAATCGAATATAATTGGGCCCAAAATACCGCAAATTAAACCACAAACCATTTTAATTGGTTGCCAAAAAAAATACTTTTGATTGGCCGCGTGACATGCACGGAAACGCATGCGCGTGATGATTTATGAAGGAGACAAGCAGTGTGGCAGGTGAGGTAGGCGGTAATGGAGTTAGATTAATAGAAGAAAATTGATTACATTTTGGATACGCTATCTCCGTTATTATACATTTGCGACGGTAATGTAATATAGAAGAAATTATCTTATAATTAGACGTCCTATTCGAATATGATAATAGATTAGGAGTAGGAATGTTTTGAACGGAAATGCAATACCTAAACGAATGTAACCTTCATTTTTGGCGGAAATGGCTAGTATTTGCCTCCCCCCCCCCCTCACAATCATGAAGGGAAGGCCTGCGAAATCGGGATTTTTTGGGTGGGGGAGAAAACTAACCTAACTCCTAGCCGGGGGCCCCCCGGTAGGCCTAACCTGACCCATAACCAGGAGCGGTTCCCGGTAGGCCTACCTTAAACTACCCTAAATGTTTCAGTAGTTAAAACTTTGGGGCGCGCCATGTCCGAAAGTACAATACCTTAGTTAGAAGTGGAAGGGCCAGGGATACGTAAGAATTGGATAGAATAATCGTCTTTCTCGTAAAACTCGGCAATAAACTTAAAATAATCGTAGGAGCACAAACGACAACCTACTTCCATCACGGCCATTGTGAAACTTGTCAATGAAATTAAAATCATACCCAGGGTGTTTCCTTTGAGAAAAATCAAATGTAACTGGTCGAAAAAAATTCGCGTGATGATATCGATACCTCATTGGTCACGACTGGATGACGTCAGTCAACATTGCGCATGCGTCATGCGCACATAACATCTCAGACGGACTTAAAACTACTTAAAATCAATTAAATTCAATTGTGTCGCTATTATTCATTTCCGCCAAGTATATATGCGGTTCAAAATGCCCAGAATAGCAAGATCGAAATATTTCAGTAGTTTATAGCTTTCGGGGGCGCTATGTCCGAAAGTAAAATAATACCCCAGCGTTAATACTAAATTTATTTTATACTGGATAGGAATACTGGAAAATTTCATGAGACTAGTAATAGTCGGGTTTCTGTAAACTGATGTAACAAATGAATTAGTTGAATGACTTGTATAACCAGTTTTCTTATATAAGAATAATATGAAATTATAACTTTGTATAAGTTAATACGATAGCCATGAGCTCTAAGTCAATACGATAGTTATGAGCTTTAAAACACTGTTATATTACTCCTGTACTTCCTCATACACTCAACTGAAGTACCAAACGGCCCTAGCCACTTCAACAGTTGACTGTGGGTGTGTCAGACGCGGTGATCTTGCGTAATGGAAGGTATATAAATTTAATATACCTTGGCATAACTATGCACCACCAATAAAGCAACTGGAACTGTCTTGTGTAAATCTTAATGTTCTATAAGTACTTACGTGTCCTCTATTTATTGTACTACTGCTATAAACACCATTTGTTCACATGACTGGTTGTAATAATATCACACACAAGCGTACACTTGTTCCACCACCAGCCGAAGACAGACAACTATATGTTGAGCGGTTGAGCCGTACTGTTAGCTGCCTACGCCTCAATAGAACTGACCTTGAAATGTCAGGGATACTTGCCACATACCGCCTCCTACTTTAATTCTTATGCTTTTGTAATGTCATCTCAGATTTTAAACTGAGGATTATAGCTCATTTTAGGCCTTTATCGAGTGTTTATATACAGTACTGTTATCGGGAGGCTAAGTCCTTTAAGGGTAAGAAAATGTCTAACGTAATACAGATTTTATAGTTTGCCCCTGAGGGGGCTAGGTTATTGGGCACCCCCTTACATCCTGTGCAAGGTGAAGCGCAGAAGCGTTTACAGTGCCCAACTGGGAAGCATGCTAAGTTCATGCTTGCCTTTATGACTCATGCATTAAGGGCGTGGGGTAATGTAACCCATTCGCCTGTGTCACCTTTGGGAGGGTGTTGACGCCCTGAGTGTGTCATTGAAGTGGATTCCTCCCCTACAAACGCTGTTTGTCGCTGAGTAGCTGACCCCGCGAATTCCCCAGTGTATGCCTCGTGGTCTAGGTCAACCAGCGCCGCCTTACATGACGGAGGTCAACTATTAAGCCACGCCTACCTCCGCTATATAAAACCTGACCTAGTGGTGACCTACCTCTCTTTCTACCGACACCAACCAGCAAGCAACACCTCCTCCTCCTCCTTCCTGGCGGCCCTCGCTCCCGCCAGCGACCATGGCGACCCACAAGCCTGTCCTCCTCTGAGCACCCTCACCAACCAGCTCTCTCTACATCACGCTTGTAACCATGCTGCCACCAAGCTGCATTGTACATCCAATTCAATATGTATACAGAGAGCACATTGTGAGTTTCCTTCCTCCATCCCATCCTGAGTGCGAACAAAACATCCCGTACCCCACATCATAACTCATGACTCATTTCCTCGGTACATAGAAATGTAAATACTAAAATAATGTCCTGAAATCATATTAATGTTGATTTTGACATCTGAGCAACAATAATGAGCAAATTATGAGTACTGTAGGGTGACGTGATGTTATGTTGTCTAGCACTCAGGATGGGATGGATGGAAACTCTAGGTGGTGGTTTTCTTTTATAAAATATATTATATGAAAGACAGTCTGGTGCTGGAGATGCCGTGTGGCGAGAAGCTTGCTCAAGAGACACGTGCAGTGAGTAGCATGCTTGAGGAGGTATCTGTGCAGGAGCTTCGTTAGAGATGTTGCGTGTTGCTGTCCTCTAGGTTGAATGAGGGCTGGAGGACAGCGAGGAGCTTGCTTGGAGGAGGTGTTGCGTGTTCAGGAATGTAGGGTAGACTGCATCTCAATGGAGAGACTGAGAGCTTATATACACAGCAGCCGGAAGTAAACCCGTGGGAACTCGCCGGTTGCTTGACTCCGTTGCTAGGGTAGACGTAGCAGGTGGCACGCCACACCGTCCACCAAAATAATTTCCTAAAAATAATCCTAGTGTTAATGTTGACGACCACCTACAGTATCGTGTCTCTTGTGAAGGCTATCATGGAGACAATGGATACCTCAGCTAGGAATATGAGGTGAATTTTGTAAGGAGTCTGTGGGAATGAGACACCTGTTCATGTCTCAGCTGTTGATGAGGAACGTTGTTGTTGTTGGTGGTGATTATTTTGAAAACAGTAGCAAGTATATACTTTCTTGTCCATGTTAGTTTACGGGTTCAGACAGACAGACAGACAGAAAGAAAAGAGATATTACCTCTATCAACCACCACCGCCATCTTTACCTGAAGTTTAGGTACCCCAGCTTATAATATCACCTAACCTAACCTAACCTCAGATGTGATGGTCGGGATCAAGTTTGAGGGCTAGGACACACACACACACACACACACACCACATGTGTCGGTCTCACAGACTTGCGTAAACACCAAATTATCTCAATATTGCATAACTAAAGCACAGCAGCTAGACAGCGACCCGCCTCGGCCATACCCTGTGATTTGTGGTTAACCGATAATTCTCATTTAATTAAACTATAAATTATTACTGTAATATTATTCAAACATACTTTAATACCCACGGAACATAATTTAAATAAAGCTTATTCATTTATTAGCGTATCCATATTTTTCATTCTGTTGTTAATATTTGTATCCGCTGCTGATTTATTCCGTTGACGATACTTAGCGTTCTAACATGAAATGACTTTTTCGACGAAGTTGCGACATTTAGTGGGAATATTGGCCGTTAAGTGGTGGCGTAGCACTTCACTGTGAGACTACTATCATATCTTCGTCCCTTGTCTTTCTTTCATTTAGATTTGAAGCTTGACCAAAGTAAATATCCATCGTGAACAGTGTGTTCATTATGTGGTGGTCGTGGTGATGTATTGGTGGTGATAGTAGTAGTAGTAGTAGTAATAGTGGCGGTGGTGGTTGTACTGGTGGGAGCAATAGTAGAGGTGGCGGTGGTGATGGTGGTGATTGTACTGGTGGGAGCAGGAGTAGGTTTTTTTTTGCGGGGATTAGCCCACCCGGGCACAGGTCACTGATCCACATCGGAGCCTGGGAGGCGAAAATGTAATGATAATAATAATAATTCATAGCAAATAAAATTTATAATAAAATAATAATGATAATAATAATAATAATAATAATAATAATAATAATAATAATAATAATAATAATAATAATAATAATAATAATAATAATAATAACAATAATAATAATAATAATAATAATAATAAAGAACCATAAATACAAAAATGAAAAAAAGATCAAAAGTGAGAAACAATATAATATGAATGTATGTTGTGTTGTCAATATTAAAAGAAACAATTGAGACCCTGTAATTGTGTGTAAATGAGGCAGAAAGTCAGATCAGCAACATGGGATTTCGTCACAATTTTCGTGATGCCACATGGTGGTGGTGGTAACTATTTCTCTCTTCTCTTGGGAAGCTACCAGATGTGTGAGATAGAATAACCTAGGCTATAAAAAGCAGCCACACGTCTTAGCCTCCATTGTTTACCACGAAGCTTGGTGAGTATCGGGAGTTCGGGATGGCTCTTGCAAGGTGGAAAAAAGTATTGTTTCATATCCCTGTCAACCTTTCTTCTTTCCTTCGTTCTTCCTCTCTCCTTATCTTATTCTTTCTCTATTTATCTTGCCTTCTCTCAATCTCTTGCTTTGATTTTGTCTCTTTTTTTATTCGTCTCTCAGTCTTTTTCTATCTCTCCAACTCTCATCTTATCCAACTAACATCCTTCCTCCATCTCTCAGTGTCTCTCTCTTTTGATCTATCCGTCTCTCATCTTCATTAACTTCTCTCTCTCTCTCTCTCTCTCTCTCTCTCTCTCATCTCCCCGTCTTTTACCTCCACAGTATCAGGAGTAACAGATTCATCACGATGCTGACTCAGTCTATCCTGGTGATTCTGCTGAGCCTGGGATTAGTCTCTGCTCGCCCAGGTATAGTAAATACCTTTTGTTTACCTTTGTTTATGTACCGATTGCTTCAGGTACCTCTGTTTATATCATCAAATACCTGCAAATCTTGCGTGTGTGGGGGGAGGAGGGGCGGTGTAGGGTGTTTGTATTAAGCACGTTTATGTAATCATGGGTGCTGGGATGAACCGAAGCCACAGGTCGTCGTCTCAAAATGCGTAACTAACACTGGCCTTCTTAGCGCGGGCGAGAGATAACTGGTACACAACAGGCAGCAGCAGTATTAGTATATATATATATACATTTCTTACATGTGTATTTTGTGTATTATTTATGATGTATATTCTGTAGATAAGTTATATATGGTGTTTGATAGTATTAGCAAAATTTTACGAAAGTTAAAAATGTGTCAGATGTTATTTTGTTACTCTGCTAAGGACCATAGGTATAAAGGTGTTCCTCCTCTTACGTCTCTCTTCCAGGTGTCGGAGAAGATAGCCTGAACCACTACGTCGATCTGGTGTTGGATAACCTTCAGATCCTCATCGTTGAGAATGGCCTCGACCCCGGCCCTCTCCCCAACAGCTCCGTCGGCTTCAGTGATGTGGTGAGTTATGTTGTGATAGGTTTCCAGATGTTGAGTTTTTGCTTTCATGGATTACTTCAGGTTTCCATAATAGTCTTTTTTTGGGTGGTATTGAGGCTTCCTTTGAGGTGAGTTTGGCTTCCAAATATTGTAAGTTTCAAGGGGGATTTTTTTTTCACTGGGAGTGTTGTTTGATATTCGAGAACTGTTTTAAGTTTCCAGAGAGAGAGAGAGAGAGAGAGGGGGGAGCGGGGGTCCAGAACGGGAGAGAGAAGGGCGAATCCAGAGACAAACATAGAAAACATAACGTTACTTCTCGCCAAGTAAAATTTTTTAAGGATCAAGAGTGAGAAACGATGTATATGTTGTGTTGTTAAAGTAAGAGAAACAATTGAGATCCTGCAATTGTGTGTAAATGAGGCAAAAAGTCAGTCAGATCAGCAACCTGGGACTTGGTCACATATGGCAGCAGGGTCTACCATTAGACAACACATTATGCTTTCAGTATTTTCTCAGGCGGTAGTACCTCCCTGTTTGGTAGCTGCCTACTACCTTCCAATACCACCCAATGTAAACTTATATGGCTACTGTATTGACGATCTATCTATCTATCAGATCCTGGGGGTCACGTGGCACGGGGAAGCAGCTGTGTATGATGGGTGGCTCCGTGGCATAGCTTCCATCTTCCGCTCAGGCGACGCCAACTTCCTCCGTGACGGTAACGGCATCATCAACGGTATCTCCAGCGGCATGGGACTTGGGGAGATGAAGGTGAGGGACTGTGTGTGTTCTGTGTATGATGGTGGTCACACACACACCCCCCCACACACACACTATTCGTCAGTTGATAATCATCGTACATCAGAATACTTTGAAAACTAAAAAAGTTTATTAAGAAAATTTATCCTCTGAACATTGATTGGCCAAACCTACGACACCTCGAGTACCTACCTTTCCTCTAGATGTGTTTCTCTCAGTGTTGCGTCAGAAGCACTAAATTACATCCCAATGATTCGGTGGTAAATGAGGTGGTCCGTGTAGGTTCTGGTCAGTTTTACGGTAACTTCGTTAAGAACAATAACCACCACCATCATCCACCACAACAATTCACTATAGATCAATAAGTAAACAATGAGAAATAATTGGCCCGACACTCACATATAAACATCATGAGAAAACTAAACACATTGCAGGTGTAGTTGTTGAAAGTTGATGATCACGAGCTTCTCCTCAAACAGGGCCACTACACCTGTTTGGCTAAGTTCATGGACTTAGGACCCATTGCTGAAATCACTGTGGACGTGAATGGCGCCAAAGTGTACTTCGAGGCGGCCCTTGACCGTACCACCTGCAGATTCCACGTCTCTATTATGGAGGTCACAAAAATCGGGTGAGTCTTCTGCTGGTGGTGAGTCGTACCTTATTGAAGTCTCTCTCTCTCTCTCTCTCTCTCTCTCTGGGGAATAATTTCAGAGGTTAGAGACGCCTGCATGGACAAGACCTCTCTTTGTTACGTGTTTATAATTTGAACAGGAGATAATGTAAGGGAGTCTTAAATATGATTGTTGATTATTGTTCTTTTGTTATGAATACATGCATACATACATACATACACGTCTCTATCACTTAAACGTTTGACTTCATCTGGCAGACACATCAACATAGACATCAAAGGGCTTGGTCCACTAAACTGGATTTTCGAGATAGTGGCAAACCTCGTGGTGAACATCGTCAAGATCTTCATTAAAGACACTATAGAAGTATCCATTCAAGATCTGACCAATCAAATCCTTGAATCTATTGACCTCAGTGCATTTGGTCCTCTTATTGGCTGTAACCCCGCGATCCAGAATCCACTCATACAGCCTCAGGTCAAGAACTACATCAAATAAGAAAGGTGATTCCCCAACGGTATCAGGTCGTGTGTTGTTGACCTCTTGATCTGTTTAGTAAACATAGAATTTATAATGTGGTAGCGAGTGTTTTATTTTCCTTTTGTCTTATTTGACATTGATGATAGTGATAAATGATAGTTCTCATGGGTAAGTAGTTGGTACTGTCATTTCCCAAAGGTAGTAGCTGGTGCTGTCACTTCCCATCAAGGCTCCTCAAAAGTTTAACTCTTTCACTGCTGGGACGTCACTTTTGATATTTTATTTGCCAAACACCAGACGATTTTATTCAGCTCAGAGGCGACTCCGGCTACAAGGGGTTTACCAAAACTAACCATATTTCACCGAACATAAACTTACCTTAACCCCCTCCCCAGCTAGCGTTAGGGTGGTTAATCTTTAAATGAAATAAGCTCGGGTGTTTAATCTTCAGGTGATCCGTAACATTTATGGGGGTAAGAGCTGTAAAATCCTGGGATAATTTACAAGCCAAACGCCAAATATCGTCTATTTTACTAGTCTAAAGTACAACAGTATTAGTTTATGTTGACGAATATATAAAACCATAATTAGTCTTGACCAGCAGTTCCCGCCCGGTTACTTAATCAGACAAATGATGACGAAGACAACTGAAGCGAATACCAAAATTGTGAAAGTTTCTGAGGTGACCATGCCAAGGGAAGGAGCTCAGTAGCCGGTGCAGGATCCCTACCTTGTTCTTGATAATTTTGTCAAAGGGTATGAAGCCCGGTACGGTTCTTGATTCCACAACTTGGGTTGGTAGACCGTCCCATAATTGAAAAAGGTACTAGTATTTCCTGCATTTCTGCATGATAGCTTGGCGAGCTCAGTTATGTCATCTCGTGCTGGTGGTGCGTGACCCGGGTTCACGTCCTCCACCCCTTTCATGATTTTTAATGTTTCAATGAGATCGGCCCTAATGTGCCATGTCTGAAGGGCTGTTAGTCCTAAGGCTCCCAGTCTACTTGGATAATCGAGATGGCATACAGTAGTTCAGGAATCATCTTAGTCTCTCTGTGTTACACCTTTTCTGGGGATGTTAGATTTTTCAGGAGGTAGGGCTTCCGTGCTTGTATACAGTAATCCAGACTGGGACCTACAATACTGTTGAAGGAGCATTTTCCTGTCTTTGCATTCGAAGTACGCTTCATAATTCCCAAATATCGATTTTCTTCCCTCATTGCTTGTTGCGCCGCCTTCAGTGAATGATCTATCACAACGTCTAGATCTTTCTCCTTATCGACTTCCACAGTATCCAGGAAAATGCTCTCAACAGAATATTCGTGAATGGGGTTGTTGTAGCCTAAGTGTAGGATTTTGTATTTCGTAATGTTAATGATCATTTGCTAGTCTCGAGACCATTTGAGCAGCTCATGCAGGTCTTTCGCCCCCCCCCCCCCTCTTGCCACCTGAGGATTAACCACCCTAATACTACCTGAAGGTGTTAGATTAGGGTGGTTAACCTTCAGGTAACATATGCTGGGGGTGAACAATAATAAGGACCCAGCTCAATCAGTGAATATCACGCACATTTACATAGATGTCATCTACAGTATAGGCACCCTGTATATTGTACTACAACACTTGCAATATAGGATCTCACTTGACGCCGGAATCAAAGATGGCGGAATGACCTTGGTTTGCTTACTCTGACGCTGAAGAAATAGATAAGTTATCGCTCTCCTGTGGTGCCTCGCGACGGTAATAACAGGGCTCTTTCAATTGACTTTTGAGGGAGATAAAACTCAAGGACATGGACAAACAGAGGACACTGATTTCGGTGAGCGATAAGCTATTTTACGTTGCATTGGTTCTCGTTGTGCCCGATGTAGCCTGAATATTTGACAAGAGACAAACAGATACTTCCAAAACCTACCTCAGCTTAATTCACATGATGAGTAAACACGATACGCTACCTGGAGGGATTAGTTTAGTAGGTTAAGTTATACTTTGAGTATTAAATCATTATAGATGAAATAAGCAGGAGGGGTTAAGTCAACACAGTTTTATCTCATAATTTTTAAATGTTGATGTGATTGTGTAATTACTGTACCCTTGTTACGCGCTTACAGACCATCGTTGTTGATGCGCAAGGTAAATTTATAGTATCACACCGGTCTTTATTTTTATAATAAAAATAGGTTTTTCCTATGTATTTTGACGAATTTCGAGCGAATTTGATATTTCCACCGAAAATCACGTGTTTTTCTTTTTTAGATACGTCCCTCCCCCCACCAATCATATGGGAAAAGAAGGATTTTTTTAGAATAAATAGCAAATTGTATAACCAACCAACCAATAAAACCTAACCTAACCTAACCTAACCTAACCCGTTGTCCATGCCCCAGACACTTAAAAGAGTGAAGACGAAGGCCTGGAGCGGTGCGTGAACGGGGTCAGACCACCTCCGCCATAAGTAAACAAATCATGGGCGACACTTGTGACAGCGAAAATAATAATAATCTTGAAAAAAATAATATATCGGTTATCCTTAATTTCCGGTGGAAATATCATAGAAGAAAAATGTCTTAGAATTGTGTAAACATTACGAGAAGCATATTTTAATACGGAAATAAAGACCGGTGTGATACTATAAATTCACCAAGCGAAGTAATAACTTTCTAACAAAAACAAATCAACAGGTAATCCCAATATACCTTTTTCGCATCCATTTGTATATTATGTGAGTAGGGAAACACCCAACAGCACTTCCTAAAAAAAACCCACAATAAACTACGACTAACACAGGTGTAAATGGACTCCAGAATACAAAGTACAAGGTCAAAGCATAAACCCAACAATGTGATGTGTTGTATATGATTCTTGTAGGAGTGTTAAATAGGCTGTGAGGCAGCCTAGTGGAGTAGCACTTCATTGTTGTTGTTACGTTATTACTGAGCTTCAACAACAACTAATATAAGGTCTTGAATCGTGTATCAAGGTTAATAATACACTAGTCCAACAACAATAAAAAAGTAATATAAAACATTTAACATCTCAATACCTCGCAAAATGAACCATCTATTTTGAGCTGATTAAATAAGTAAATAAGTGAATAGATATATAACGTCAATAATAGGAATAGAATTACATTATAAGAGTATCAGTATTTATGTTTATTTGCTTATCCGTTCAATTGTATTTCTGGTTTCATTTGCCATTTGTTCTGCCAGTTATGTCCTTTCATGTTATTGTCTTATTCTTACAACAAAAATTTCAGTTTCGTCAAAAAAATTATTTGTGTGGGTCATTTTCAATATGATCACCTGAAGTTTTACCTCCCAGAGTATTTTAAAATAAATTAACCCCAACTCTGGCCTAACCTAACCTTACCTTATCCTAATCTAACCTTACCTAACCTAACTTGATCCTAATCTAACCCTCAGGTAACGTTAGAGAGTTTAATCATTATGTGAAATAAACTGAGGTGGCTAATGTTCAGGTGATCCTTTTAATCTTTATTTGGCAACTCGGGAATATGCAACTCTGGATTATTTATAAAATAGGTGGATAGATAGATAGATTAATGATGAATGAAAGTAATATTGTTTGGTTTTGTACACTTTTATTTTTTTTAATAGATTGTCGTTATATTTTGCAGTTTGTTTGATACTTTACACACACACAAACACACACGTTAAGGGTAAGTCATGTCGTTAAGTTACGTAAACATGGAGAAGAATAACCCAAACTTCCATTTATAATATTACCAAGTTGATTATGTACTCTCTCTCTCTCTCTCTCTCTCTCTCTCTCTCGCTCTCAAGCGTAGTGCAGCCACTAACGCTTTCGTCAGGTGCGAACAAGACAAAAATCACACTTTCTTAAGCATAGTACAACCACAAATGATTGCGTCAAATAAACATTATTATCACACTTTCTAAGGCGCAGTACAATCACTAACACCTGTGTCAGTACAATCAAGACAAGGTACAGTACAATCCCTCCTCTACCTCCTCCTTGCACACTCACCATCTCCCATTTGTTGCTTATTATTATTTTTTCGTTAAACTTAGTTCTTATGACTTCTTGTTACCATCATGCGCTTGTTGGGTCTTTTAACAGCCTCTGGTGGATCGTTTCATTAATTTGCGGTGACGATCCAGCTACGTCGAACATCCAACAGGCCATCTTCCTTTAATTTACTGAAGAGGTCTCGGGAGGTGGCGTTAAGGGTGGTGTCAGCATGAAGGCCCTGGAGTAGAGGCCACACTTCCTGAAGCTGCTGGGTGGATTCTTGCAACCTCTCCAGCGCCTCCATGTGTAAACGAACCTCCTCGTCTGTCACTACATGCTTCAGGAGGACACACACACGCAGGTTAATGAAAGTGTAGGAAAAAAACCATGACAACACAACTCTGACAGGGACACGATGACAAAGATGTAAAATGCCTGCTGGTGCTACAGTTTGTTTCACGTGAAGTTTGTCAGTGAGGATTTTAAGCATATTTGGCTAGATTCAGACAATTAAAATGAAAATAAGACACGTAAAATGAGATTAAAAACTCACAGACTTTGGTTTTGACGTAATGTGAGATTTTTGAAGGCTGGTGATGGTTGAGGTGAGGGAGGAGCAGTGGACGGGCTTTGGTAGGATACTGGTTAGGATTCTAGAAAGAGAACTGCTCACTGTTGTCGCCATGTTGTAAACCTAATGGAAGGAGGAACTTATGTATTCGAAGATCCTGTCAAGTAATCATCAAGTAAAGAGAATAAACATAACTTTTCCTTAGGTTAATGAGGAGGGAAATAACATACAGTACAGGTTAATGAGGTAGTCGGAAATAGCATACACTGAGTTTTCCTTATCTAAATACACTTAATTTTGTATGGCGCTTTTTAGTGAACGTTAAAGGGAGATTCGCACTATAGTTTTGTAAATATTTATAAATTATATTTCTGTATCAGTCACTTTAAGAATAAAATGCCCTTGTCAGTCCTACGTATAAAAAACCTACATGATGCGAGCATAGGTATAATTTTTTGTACAGTACATTTATGCGTATTAAAGAAAGCTAAACCGAGTGTACAGTTTGTGGAATGTAGCTATAACATTTATTTACCACAAAAAAGCATAAAGTCATAAAGTTAAGTAAAAAAAATAAATATTCAAATAACACGCGTAACCAGAGCGTTCAGGTGACTTACCGTTGTGTGTGGGAGAACGTAGTAGGGGTGACTGCGGTGTTGTGGTGAGTGACGCGGAGGCCACACTACAGTAGGTACTGATATCCTCCAACGCTTTATCACAGTAAGAGATAACGCACAAGAGCACTCAATACTGGTTATCCCGCTGAGTTATAAGATAATAACAGTTTCAAATCGCTCATTGACTTACAAGAAACTATTTTTATACTCGACTGAAGCCGATTAAAATACTGATAATAATTGAAGAGCAAATTATTTTTCTCATGAACTTAGTAATGTATTGAGATACCTGTTAAATAACCACTACGTTGACGATAGTGGTAAATTTAGTGGTGATAGTTGGTGGCCATTGACTCATGATAAACTAACAGTGACTGGGTTCGTTCCTTGGTCAAAGGGGAGGAGCGCTGCCCTCCCCCTCCACCCCAATAAATTACATAATACTTATTTGGGTCAGGTAGATAAGCCTGCCATTGACGACCACTTGAAGGAAACCCAAAGGTGTCTGTTATATCAACGTTGGGGAAATATTGTAAAACGATCAAGGGTTATCTGATGATGTAGTTGAATAGATCAGTGAAGTTAAAAAATTCATGGGTTTTGAATATCACCAGAAACTTACAAGGAGTTAAAAGGTAATGTCTGGGTAATACTCTACAGGAAATATTTTGTTCGGTGTATGAGAACTGTCAGTGTGGCAATGACAGTTCACGGTGAGCCTTCAATAACCTGTCTGCATGATTTATATGGTCGGCTGCGCTTCAGTAGTCGGAGTTGAGAATTTTAACACGAGAAAAAATATTTGGCTCCTTGACACTTTCAGCAGATATTATAACCTCTTTATTATGTGATACTAAAAGAGAATATTAAAGACAAAGTGTCAAAAAATAATAATAATAAGTACTAGAATTAGGCAGATCGCTACAGCAAGGGGGGGATATTGGAAATCTATAGAATAAAAAAATAAATAAACTTTGGCTCTACCATTAGGGATAACAGTAGCGTTAATGATAGGTAAAACTGAGAGCAGGAGGACCAGGGTACAACAGAAGCTGAAATGCGTGATTGAAATATAAAGCTTTGGTTCTTAGGGAAATACAATACCTGGGGTGATTGGTAAATACAAATTGAAGACAGTTTGAGTGGAGGACCTAAGGGTATTTTAAGGGAAGGAGGGAGCAAGGACTCGTTCCCTAGGCAGGTACTCGTGTAAAGAAGTAAACTCCCCCTTCAGGAAACATTACGATTGATAGAGAGGAAGGAAAACAGAGAGAAAGAGAAAGGGGGAAGAAAGAGAGAGAGAAATGAAAAAGAAAGAAATGTAAGATTTGGTCACTTATCGACTTAACTTTCACCATTAACACCACCAGCAGGTCGCTACAGGAAGTCATTCAGCCGGACGTCCGTTGTGCCCTTACCCGGCCACAGTCTTCCCTTCGTCGTCTACACCTACAGGAACTCCGTGACTCAGCTCTCAGAAACACAAGAGTCACGCGCGGGAGAGATGTTAATTTTTACCCGGAATCAACATAGGTGACTCAAAATTACCCCACCTGACAATGAATTCAACACAGGTAACCTAGAATCAACTCACCTGACAATGAATTCAACACAGGTAACCTAGAATCAACTCACCTGACAATGAATTCAACACAGGTAACCTAAAATCAACTCACCTGACAATGAATTCAACACAGGTAACCTAAAATCAACTCACCTGACAATGAATTCAACACAGGTAACCTAAAATCAACTCACCTGACAATGAATTCAACACAGGTAACCTAGAATCAACTCACCTGACAATGAATTCAACACAGGTAACCTAGAATCAATTCACCTGGCCTGAAAATCAATATCTGATCTTTATAGCTTTAAAAGGTGTTGCTTAAGAATAGATAACTAGATTTAGATGCAATAAACAATGGCAAGTTAAAAAAACAAGTTTATGATAGTCACCCCTCATAATTTGTCATGAACGTTTCCTTTTCTTTTTAATTTATACTTTGCCTTTGAGAATAAAGTTTTTTTTTATTTGATTCTTAAGGTAATAATACAGTTCCCATGTTTGTTTTGTTATCAGTGTTCCATTATCGTGAGTATAAGATGTTCTCAGGCCAAGATAAACCCTTGAAGAACTAGCAGTAGTTTTATTTTCGTTCAAGTACATCAACAGGCTGCATGATAAGGCCTGTGGGAGCACCTGAAGAATAGACAGCCTAATATATTTCACGTGAATATTAACCTAACCTAATAATTTTCACGTGAATATTAACCTAACCTAATATATGTCACGTGAATGTTAACCTAACCTAATATATTTCATGTGAATGTTAACCTAACCTAATATATTTCACGTGAATATTAACCTAACCTAATATATTTCACGTGAATATTAACCTATCCTAATATATTTCACGTGAATATTAACCTAACCTAATATATTTCACGTGAATATTAACCTAACCTAATATATTTCACGTGAATATTAACCTAACCTAATATATTTCACGTGAATATTAACCTAACCTAATATATTTCACGTGAATATTAACCTAACCTAATATATTTCACGTGAATATTAACCTAACCTAATATATTTCACGTGAATATTAACCTAACCTAATATATTTCACGTGAATATTAACCTAACCTAATCTAACCAAACTTAACTTAACGCTAACCTAACCTACTAATAACCGAACGCTAACCTAACCTACTAATAACCGAACGCTAACCTAACCTAATCTACCGTAACGTATCGCTAACATAACCTAACCTAACCTATCGCTAACATAACATAACCTATCGCTAACATAACATAACCTATCGCTAACATAACATAACCTATCGCTAACATAACATAACCTATCGCTAACATAACATAACCTATCGCTAACATAACATAACCTATCGCTAACATAACCTAATCTAACCTGCCAAGTATAGCGTTAGAGTAATTAATCTTCAGGTGTAATAAGCAACCGTGTTTTATGTCCAGGCGATAAGACCAATGTTATTTACTACACTTTAGATTATAGAGTACGATAATGCGCAGTACGTTAGTCCTCTCCCTGTACCGAGAGAGAGGGGGAGGGTAGTGTAGGTGAATACTTTTAATTACACTATTGAAAGGGTTGAAGATAGAGGTGTAGTTTAATATTGTACGCACACATGCACGCATATGCACATATATACACACAGTCTTCCTCACAGTTTCACACACACACACACACACACACACACACACACATATCTCAAAGACCAAGAATAAAACAAAAATAATTGATGTTAGCTAAAAGTCCTCTTCATCAATCCAGGTTGCGCAAACATTAAAAGTTATATTACTCAAGTATTTACGGTTCACGATAAAGACAGACACGTGTGATTCAATTCAATTCTGCCGCCATTCCACTTCCACTAACGGCGCCACAACTCATTAATGGCCTCATCTACCTTAATTATATGCTTTAATTATATAGGACAAGGCGGTACACTGACGCTGGATGACTCATACTGGTGGCTGAAGGAGGGAGGGAGGGAGGGAGGGGTCTTAGTTTCCCGGTATGTTATCAGAAATGTCCACAAACTTGAAGGTCTTACAGGGATGATAACGAACTCATACTGTCATATTACACACACTCTCTTGGTCAGCGCGTGTTTATATATACAAGGCCGTCGAAAAATAAAGCCCACATTTTAATACATTACCATATGAACTCCGGGGACGTTCTTCTTTCGATGACCTCTACAGTAGGTGGTTATAAATATGCATATTATTAATTTTCCAGGAATAGTTACAGGTTAATGATAAACGGCAGACGATCATGAGGAAGTTAACCTGTTTTAGAAGCTGGGGGTGGGGGAGGGGGGGTTCTGTACCTACTGGGATATACCGTGAGGATTATGTAAAAGCTGATGTCTGTTGAGTAATAAAGACGCTGAGATGTGATTGAAGTTATTATTATACCGGGTAAATTAGTGTAGGGGGAGGGGGCGTACTCCACTAATTAGGACTTTCTGACGTCATTTCCGGGCGAGAACATTCCTCTTAGCAGGGAAGGAAGGCGACCCACGCGTGCTGGAGAAAGTATCGAGGGTTAATAATGCCAACCATAGCTACAACTAATTGCTTGTCAGTCTCTCAACACACACACACACACACACACCGCGCCTCAGCCTCTTCATCCCCCGGGGAACTTCTCGCTTTGAGGCCTGTTTCTGGTTCGCGTTCAATTAGTCTAGAGAATTTTAAATACCTGAGATGTAAATATTTGCAGAGGAAGTCGACTCTACAGTTTGTTAGCCTTCCTGAGAGCGGGCGGGGGTATATAATAGGTGTGGGAGGCTCCACCCCAGGTGTGGGTGTTGGCGTGTAGCAGGTGTCACTACCCTGGTGTTGGTGACGCTAGACGCAGCTCAACACATCCGCGGGAGACTGTTTCTTAAGTCTTGATGATTATTGTGGTCCTATCAGTTAAGCAAAAGCTGTTTTATCAAATCAAGTAGAAACAAATATTAACACGACACCCATAACAGTGAAGGAGGGGAGTTTTATTTAGGGAAACAGAAGACCAGAACAGAGAGACACTTTTCCAGGGACAATGTATCCGTTAACGAGAGGAGTTTTGTTGGTGAGTGTGACCCTTAGTCTCGCAGGCAGCGGCAGGACTGAGGGCACCAGGACAGCGGATCATGAGGACAACTGGCTTTGGGTACCACCACGTGCCCACATCCAGCCCCTACCAGTGACCCTCTCAAAGAAGATGGCCAGAACGACTACAGACGATGACAACGACGTCACTACTGCTCCTGGTGTTGGTGGGTCCTCAACCGTAGCCGTCAGGAAGATTGTGGAAGACGAGGAATCTCTCTGTGACGATGAAGGAGAGAAACAGAGTGATGAGAGGACCCTCACGCTGAAACAAATGGCTCTTGATAAAGGCCTCTCCATCCAGGGGCGCTCCTCAAACACAGAAGGTAAGAACAATCCCTGTCTATCTATAACGAAAACGTATTGTCTATCGATGAGGACTCAGCTGACTCATCCTAATAAAACTGTCCAATGCCACAAGAGTTGATAGATTATCCGATTTGCATTTATTTAAAGAGGATTCTGATTAATGTAAAGAGTGATTCTGAGTTGATGTAAGCAATACCTGAGTCTTAATGGATTATACAGGTGGAAGATTCTGGATCATGTTTACATCATTTTCACTTTGGTCACTTGTGGATCATAGTCAAGTTAGAATCACGCCAGAGTCTTGCACAAATCACACCAGAATCACGCCAGAGTCTTGCACAAATCACACCAGAATCACGCCAGTCTTGCTCAAGTTACACCAGTCTTGCCAAACCACACCAGAGTCTTGCCAAATCACACCAGAGTCTTGCCAAATCACACCAGAGTCTTGGCAAATCACACCAGAATCACGCCAGTCTTGCCAAATCACACCAGTCTTGCCAAATCACACCAGAGTCTTGCCAAATCACACCAGAGTCTTGCCAAATCACACCAGAGTCTTGCCCAAATCATACCAGAATCTTGCCAAATCACACCAGAATCACGCTATAGTCACACACACTCACACCACGACATGAGAGAATAATAATGGTCGTGAAGGAAAGATCGTCCACCTCTGGCTTACTGGGGCGAGTGACCGTCCCCATGTCGTCTTCTGTCCCTCCCGCCACGCCCCCACAGTGAGTCCTTGGACCTCCCTGCTGGGGCGGACACCTGAGCCAGCCCCAGCCGCTTTGTTCTAGCCCTTAGTCCAGTGTCCCTGAGAGTGTAAACCCCTTTCCTATACTTTCCCATCACAGAACCTCTCTTCTTTCCCCCTCCAACCTTCCACAACACATACCTTCTTTTCCCCTCCCACTACAGAACTCCCTCTTTTTCCCCTCCCACTACAGTCAAGGCTTCTCTCCCACTACAGCTACCCTTCACATCTTAAGCCAACTCCCTCACCACCTCCCCTTCCCACCTCCTCAATATCATCAACAGTTACAGCAGCATCTTCTCCCTTCCTCCTCCCTTCCCACCACAGAATAGATCAAGGAAGGGCGAGGGAAGGAGGGGTGTGGGATGGGTGGGAGGGGACATCCTCTTCCTTAATTAACAACACAAAAAGACTCATCTACCTGGTAACGGATCTACAGGTAAAGGTGTATTGTCGTGGTAATTATTGTTGGTAAATACTGTAGTTGTGTCTCAGTCATTGTTACCGTTATGTTTTAGGTTAACAGAAATTTATAGCAGAAAAACAATCGCTATCAATCATATTTACTAACTTCATTCATCTCTTTCGTAAGTGTGTGTGTGTGTGTGTGATAGCGAAATATTTCCGCTACCCATAAAAATCAACATAGTATCCCCTTCTAACATACCCCAATCAGTTAACTCCGTTTTCTGTGATCGCCAAACTCAATATAAATACTGTAATTCATTTTTACATACACACACTCCTTTGTTCCTCTAATTCGGGGTCAGGAAGGTGCAGGGGATATCAGGCTGCTACAGACAAGGGGGAATGAGAGGGAAAATAAACCAAGAAACAAGAAAACTGAATAAAAAGAATAGAGAGAGTAGGAAGTCGAGTAATTAGTCACAATTGTGATTTTAGAAACTATATGGGCAGGACTTTCACTAAAGAGCGCAGGATACGGCAGCGTCACGGTATTGATCCTGTAGGAGGGGGCTCAGGGTGTAGTGAATGGGAACACCTAACCTAACCTAACCAACTGTGCTCCAATTATTAGTTTCCATTGTGTTTCAGAACCCGTGCCTCAGTGTGACCAGTTTATCATTGCCCTCGACTTCTACATCCACTCACCCAACTACCCTGCTAACTACGCTGCCAAGTGAGTTACCCCTCTCAACTACTACTACCCCCCTCCCCCACAGTTCCTTCCCTCTCACCTAACCTAACCAAACCTAACCTAATCTTCTCTGTTAATCACTATACTCTGTTCTGTGTCCTTCATATATGCGTCCTCTGATGTACCTCTACGCCCTTCTTAAGCAAGTTTACTCTCCTGGCCTGAGAAGCATAAAACAGGTCACCTTCCTTCACCCAGCTCAGTAAACATCACCACCTTGATAAGTCTTTTACCAAGTGCATCACAGCCGCGTGAGAGAAGGTAAGTACGGAGTGTGTGTATGGTGGGGGGGGGGGAGGGAATACAGTGAGGTACAGAACAATAGAATTAAGCAACAGATAAGATCCATTTATAAACCTTAAACACGTAATAGTAAACATCGCAAGACTTTCAATTTCGCTAATGTTATGTTTGTTGTTGTTCCTCTTGTCAGCACGACTTGTAAGTATCAGATCTATCGCCGCCACCCTGACTACTGTGGCGTCGTGTTCACCGTCCTCCGCCTCGACCTAGCGACGCGTCTCGGGCCCCACAACGACACTAATGAGATCCTGAAGGAGGTGGGAGGCGCGGTGGGCGTGGAGGGAAGGCGTGAATGTCCAGGAGACACTCTGGTGATTAACGGGGTGACTCACTGCGGGAGGTACCAGCGCGGGAAGACAGGTGAGATGACTGATATTGTGTTGAGTCGGATAAATATTGTTTTTGGTTTTTTTGGTAACGCCTCTGATAACCTAATGATAACGCCGGTTTTAGTATTTTATTGTGGCTAAACTAAAAGTGAATCTCTCGTCTCATTATTGCCTCCTCGGCCCTACAGCTACGTTTGTCTTCCCGTCCTCCCTCATGACGGTGGAGTTCCAGAGCGGGGCAAGCCATGGAGCGTCAGGGTTCCTACTTCAGGGACAACAAGTTAAAACCTGCCGCCGACCCAGAACCCTCGGGGCGGCTCTTGTCTCCTCTGTTCCCTGCGACAGGTAGGTCATGGCAACGCATTGTCTACTGTATGTGTGTGTGTAGGGTTTTAAACGAAAGGAAATTCATATTAATAACCCTTACAAAACTTCAACACAGTAAAGACGTATTTTAAGTTATGTTACAAACTAAATGGAGGAGACTTAACGTTCGGGGTGCAAAAGACAAGATGGTGTTAAGAATACACACAAGAGTTTCAGGGGACACCATCACAGAACGCCTCAATGTTAACTTATCAGTCAGTGACAACAACAACGACGCCTCTCTTCACATACACAACTATTCATTAATTTCTCTCCATCAGTGATAAAATACATAAGAGTAGAATATACTTAAAGTGTCATTACCTATATGCGACACTGAATAACTGACTCAATCACTAACGGAGAAGAAGAATTATTTCTCGGTAATAGGTTGAGGTAACTTACCATAGCCACTCATGATGACCATCTCTCTACATTAGAACTAAATTCAACTAAGTGTAATTGAGCTGAAACTTTAGTTTTATGAGGGACCTTTTCCTTCACTGACATGGCTTAGTTTTTCTCTTACTAAAATGTTATAAATTTCCCCAGTTAAAACTTTGAAGATTTTTGTTACAGGTAAACGCATTTTTGTGTGAACTTTAATTTGTATCATTATTTACCTTTTATGTTTCCCTGTCAGGCGGGTGGAGGGGGAGAGCTTCAAGTTGAGGTCCCCTGAGTATCCCCGTCAGTATGAACACAACCTCGAGTGTAGGTATACAGTGGTGCGAGGCGGCGACCAGTTCTGTGGTGTGAAGCTGCAGGTGGAGGACTTTAGGCTTGAGGACGGCAGCTGCATGTTTGATTACCTGGAGGTGCAAAGCCAGCGCTTCTGTGGGAGCCTCTTGCCTGGGTTCACGCGTAAGACTGGCCTTCTCTCTCGTTACACACACACACACACTTAACTTTCTGCTTCATGCTGTTACTGGTGATAAATGAATCAACTTATAACGTTAGAGAATATTGTATTAACTTTACATTAATTTTCAGGTTATTACGAGTTTGAGGGAGAGGAACTCATCATCCGTTTCCGCACCGACGAATCCACCAAGAAGAAGGGATTCTCTCTCGTGGGTGAACTAGTGGCCTGTGGGGAGCCTTTACCAGTCCAGTCTCCTCTCAACCAATCACCGCCCGGGAGAGTCGAAGATGACCAATCACCGCCATCTTCAGGACCGAGTACCCAGTCACCGGTTATTTTAACACCTCCTTCTGTTACGCCATCTTTGAATAACCTATCAGAAATTGATATAAGTTACATCTTGTCAGTTATTGGTCGACGGCCCCTACCCACTGACGACAATGGAGCTTCAGGGAGGGGGGTTCCAGAGGAGAGCTTTACTGAGCTTGGCCCTGGACTCACAACGGAAGAAGAGCTTGGCCCTGGGCTCACAACAGAAGGAGAAGAACTTGACCCTGGGCTCACAACGGAAGAAGAGTTTCACCCTGGGCTCACAACAGAAGAAGAGTTTCACCCTGGATTCACAACAGAAGAAGAGCTTGACCTTGGGCTCACAACAGAAGAAGAAACATCCGACTCTGAACTAGTGACGGGGGGAGAGGTCGACCCAGGTCTCGTGACGGAAGGTGACGACGAAGACACAAATTCAGACCAAAACATACCAGGTAACCCGGATTTCAACCCTTTCACGGGTACCGGACTACAACCGACGCTGCCGACTTTCCCCAACGGCTTCCCGACAACAGTTAATTTTCCAGCCACGAGTAGCTTCCCGACGACTATATTCCCGACAGTTCGTACTTCGGATTGTGACCTGGTGCTGTCGGCATCTAACTTCGTCATCAGCAGCCCAAACTACCCAACCGACTACCCGAACAACAAGGACTGCAGCTATATCGTCGGGAAGTCCTCGAACGACGTGTGTGGGGTAAGTCGGTGATGGAAATTGAATACTACTTAACACTGTTTCATGAGTTATATTTAATCTTCGACTTTTGTCTTTGATTGTACATAATGTTAAAACAAACCGAGATTAGGCATTGTTGTGAATCTTTAACCCTAACTCCCCCCCTCCCCCTAACACCCCGTCCTCCTACAGCTACAGGTGACTTTCGTGGACTTGGACCTGCCTACGAGGGACACCAACACAGGGGAATGTACTGGCGACTACCTCGACGTAGATGGCACCAGGTTCTGTGGTTCCTTCAAGGGTTCCCTGCGTGAGTACCTAGTAGACGTACTCCTTGTACTCACCTCCAGTTACTTATATCACCTGTTGTACTCACGTGTTGATATTGTTGCTACGTGTTGTTAGATATATTATGCAGCTGCTTTGTGTGCTACTGTTCCATATTTCACTAATTGTCCTTAAAATGTGGTATTTCTGGATGTAAATAAGGGCGTACTGTACCATAACTTTAACCTAACCTAACCTCAGTCTTATGTCGGGTCTTCTTGCAGTGACCTTCAATTTCACGGACAACACCCTCAGCCTCGCCTTCCACTCTGACGGATCAACCAGCGGGCGTGGCTTTAGGGTCAGTACACGCTAGGCCTTGTCCCATGCACTGTGATACTCCAATCATTGCCATATACTCTCAACGAACGCTGTCATGCACTGTTTTTTACCTAACCGAATCATGCACTCTCATCAACACCTGCTTCTCCTCCTACAGATACAGGGGAAACAGGTGACGGAGGGGTGTGGTGGGGTGTTGCCTGTAGAGTGTAATGCCACTACTCAGATGACCCAGTTCACCCTTATCAGTCCCGGGTACCCGTCCACCTACCCGGCCTCTGTCGACTGTGTTACTACCGTCAGTAGAGCCACCCCAGATGTCACCAAGTAGGTGCTCTTACGTCACCAAGTACTGTAGGTCTTGTTACGTCCCCAAATAGGCTAACAACAAACTTAACTACCATTAGGGAGTATAACATAACCAACTTAACGACTCCTTACGAGGTTAACGAGCTTCCTTCCTCAGCGTGGTGCTGGAGATGGTGGCTTTTGAGACGAGTTCGACCCCGGGCTGTACAGGAGACTACCTGGAGGTGGGCGGCCAGAGGCTTTGTGGACAACTTACCGGCCAAACAAGTAAATTATTCTCCCCCCTCAATACTTCACTACCCCCCCCCCCTCCCCACCCTGTAATCAATATACAACCTTAAACACGAAATTAAACCTATAAGCAAATATTAGAAGGTTAGGTTAGGTTATATCAGGTCAGGTTAAGTGCTTAATCACCAGGTAAAATAAGCTGAATTGTATAAATCTTGAGTTGGTTTCACTTTAGCCTCCACGTTTATTTTATACTAAAGACCATAACACTACTAACGATAATGTTTTCACCCCCTCCTTCAGGAAACTTCATGTTCTCAAGTAACTCCCTCACCATCACCTTCCACTCTGATTCTACCACATCGTCGGGAGATCGTGGATACCAGGTGAGAGTGACCCAGAGGACCTCCATCAACCCTGGTGGCTGTGGGGGCTTCGTCACCACCTCCACCGCTTCCTTACAGTCCCCAGGTTACCCCTCCCAGTACCAGCCCAACCTCGACTGTCGCTACATCGTCACCAAGGTCTCCCGCGACGTGTGCCAGCTCCATGTAAAGGTGAGGCGTGATGGTGAGGCGTGATGGTGAGATGGTGAGATGTTGTGGGTCGTGAGGGGAAGATGGAATGATGGAGAAATTTGTGGTGAGGAGGAGAGCTGTGAAGTTTAATGGTGAACGTCTTGGTGAGGCGTAATGGCGGAGAGGTGGGTTGAGAACGAGATGATGAGGCTGACGAGGCTGATAAATGGTTTACTTCTACAGGTCCTGGGTATGGAGGTGGAGTACAGCCCCAGGTGTGAGCGGGACTACCTACAGGTGGACGGGCAGGAGAGACTGTGTGGACGGAGGCATCCTGGAGAGATACGTGAGTAGGCCTACCTTAGTAGTAGTAGTAGTAAGAGTGGTAGTAGTAGCAGTGATAGTGGTAGTAGTAGCAGTGATAGTGGTAGTAGTAGCAGTGATCGTGGTGGTAGTAGTAGTGATAGTGGTAGTAATAGGAGTAATAGTGGTGTTAGTAGTATTAATAGTGATAGTAGTAGTAGTAGTAGAAGTAGTAGTAGTAGTAGTTTTAATAGTGGTAGTTGTGACAATAGTGGTGGTAGTAGTAGCAGTAATAGTGGTGGGAGAACTATTAATAGTGGTAGTAGTAGTAATAATAGTGATAGTATTAGTAGTAATAATGTTAGTAGTAGCAGCAACAACAGTAGTAATTTTAGTTGCTATCGTTGATGTACTCGTTGGAGTAAAAGTACATTGTGCTTGAAACAATTTAGTACTCGCAACTAAATGTACTCATTGTTTATCTTACATTGTCTTGGTTACATTAACACAACACCTCGGAAATAAGTACTGTTTACCATTCATGATATACCCCCGGATGTAATATTTTGAGGGGAATTTTTCACATAACTTTTTTAATTAGACTTTTAGGCTTAACATATACTTAGATACTTTTTTAATAATACCTATAATAACATAATAAATTTCGCATGAAGTTGACCTATCTTCTACAGGTTCTTCTATAAATACAAACTTTTTTGTGTGTATTAATGAACGTATAATTCTTTTCACAGGGAGGTACCATTTCAGTGGCCATTTTCTGAACCTTTTCTTCCACTCGGACGAATTAGGATCAGGTCGTGGGTTCAGTATCGAGATTAGTCAGATTACTTGTGGTCACTTCCATCCCATGTACCCGACCTACCCCACTTATCCGACCTACCCGACTTATCCGACCTACCCGACTTACAGGCCACGTCGTAACCACAATAATAATAATAGATCAGTGTTCTTTGGGCTCAACAAACCGAATTTTAAGTCTTGGTGGAAGTTCAACCCCTTCTCTCGGCCTCGTCACTCAAGCCACTACACGACTGCTCCTTCCAGTTCTTATACCAGTAAGCCGTGCCATCACCTGATAAGTTACGGGCCTCCAGATACCAGTTACGGATCTCCAAGTACGAGCTACGGACCTCCCAGTGATGGATATTTACCTCCAGCACCTGACTACACAACTCCTTACCCCATCACCACACCTTCCCCGACCTTCCCACCTACAGTTATTCCTACGTTTCCTCCCACTGCCCCAACACCCTTCCCCACCATCCCCACAGTCACCCCAGTTTTCTTCCCCACACCTCCTGCAGAACTTCTCTTTGCCCAGCGGTTTAATACTAGCGATTCTGATGGTAGTAGGAACGTCGAGTCTTCAGGCGGACCAGATGTTGAGGTCATCCCTTCCTCTGTCAGTCACAGGGAGCCCAAATTCACGCAAGTGTCCTCTGACTCTGGCCAGGTCGAACAGTGCCGGCAAGTCTTCAACAGCCAAAGATTCACCATTCAGAGTCCAGGCTACCCCGGTCCTTATTACACCCACATGAGATGCCTCTATGCCATCGTCAGGTAGGTTCTGTCCACACCTTTAACGCCATCGTCAGGTAAGGTTCTGTCCACACACATAAAAAACTTGATAAACTGTTTCACGATATATTCACGACCTTTTAAAAATTATAGGAAGCTCCCCGTGACTACTAGATTCCTCTTCTCCTGCAGGCGGGACTCAAGTGTGTGTGGTGTAGAGCTTCTGATGGACCAGTTTGACGTGGAGGAGACGGCAGGGTGTGCTGAGGCCGGGCTGGAGTTGGCTGGTCGTCGGTACTGTGGCTCCATCCCTCAAGGCTCGCACAGTCAGTACAGACACCCCTGTTCACTCTGTGTCATAGTATCATCTCTATCAATTCTTTATCTTGTCTAATTTCAGATTCTCAAGGATTCATACGTTAAAGTTTCTCCTTTAACATAACCCTTACAAATGTGGACATTCTATATCGATAACCTTGTATACTACTACAGTCTTGTTTAGTTACGAGTTTCTAGCTTATCTCTGTATCAGCTTTGTTTACCTACTGTATGTCCCCCCTCCCACAGGTGTAGTGCCCTTCCCCAGAGACGGACCCATCCTCATGGAGTTTTTCTCAGGACGTTTCCACACTGGCGCCGGTTTCAGCCTCCGGGGCCGCCAACTTCCTTGTTTACATGGGAATGTTAATGTAGCCGCGGCAGGAGATACGCGCCCTAGTTCCCAGGGTATAAATTCGGCAGCAGGAAGCAACAGGGAAACATCGTCGCATGAGGAGGCGTTGCTACGTCTCCCGGAGGAAAACGGGGAGGCAGAGTGGTTGGATAGACGGAGAGTAGAGGGGGACATCATCATTCACTGGACGGGCCCCGGTGATCAAGAGGACCGTCCACATTTAGACAGTCGTGGATGGAATCCAATTTTTGGCTGATGTGGAGTCGTACACACTCACAGCTATTTGTACCAATCAAGAGCGCCTCTGAGGACATCACAAGGGACAACTCTCATCTTACAGCCTCCATAAGATTGTCACTGTGGGGCGGAGGTGATCGCCACACGCTGTTCATTGCTCGTGCTGTCAATGATTTGATAATATGGGACTTACATTGTTTGTTGATGAATCTCTATAACGAAGAAAAGATCAAAATGACGTTTTTGTGGACAGAAATCTAAAAGAAGAATGCTTTAGGCAGCTCTTTAGTCCGCTGACACCTCGCAAACAAGAAATCGAGAACCACAACAACATCTAAAGATATAAATACAATTACTGATATACATTGACACCACAACCTCTGTCAGTTTCGTTCCCTGTATATAGATGTTTATCCTCTGGGCGTCAACAATTACTTAAGATGCCAAAAGTCACTGAAAATAGTGATTGTGTTGTGTCGCTGCTTCTGGACAAGTTCACGTTCCTTCAGCACAACAATATTTACTTTACTATTATACATATATTTACTGATAAAATTATCGCTTATATGTGTGAAAAAAAAATATGGCTGGGGTATATTTTGTATTTTGTATATTGTTTATTGTTATACTGGGTATCCTAGTGTTACTGTAGTGTTGAATATAAAGAAATATACAGTAGTGAGTTTGTAGTTCTACTGGTCAATCGTGATGTTTTATATATACTAAAAGATTATATATATATATATATATATATATATATATATATATATATATATATATATATATATATATATATATATATATATATATATATATATATATATATATATATAGCTGAGAAACAGCACGGAAAGGGGAGGCATTTCTGTTTCACGCAAATTGATGGCAAGATTCCACGTCGGCAGTCGCACCTTCAAAGTGTTTAAGTAACACTCACATTTACAACAAAGCCGTAATTACAATAACTTTGCTTTATACACGAAATATAATAAATAAACCACCCCAAGAACCAACACGGCGGATGGGTACACACAGAAATTCAAGGAAGTTGGTGTAAATTTCTGAATAAATCAATGAATAAATGTTTTGGATATCCCTGCTATTTCTAGTCAAGGATTTCTTTTTTGTTCATTCCATAAATTTTCAGAAAAATCTTCACATCTAGGATTTTCTATCAACCGTATCAGATATATTCTAAATAGCATAAAGGTACTGTATACACGTTCCAGTTATAGCCTATAGGGAGGGGAAGAGAGGATGGGGTAAAGGTGAAGCCAGGGGGAAGGGAGAGGAAGGTAAGAGAAGAAGGTAATAAAACAAATGTGATGAGGTACAGGTAACGGTAGTGAGGCAATAACTCTTGTCCTGAGCTGTGTTCAGAGGGTGTACAAAGGGCCTCGGGTAAGAGCACTCTGAGGCCTAAGTGTTCCGTGACGCCTCACTGACACCTGCATTACTGCCCACACATACACACACCAACACGCAATGCACTCAATCAATATTTTATAAAATTTAATACCCGGTAATAATAATAATAGAGATATCATTAAAATACACGTAATACAACAATAATAATAACTGTGTTATTCTGCTTGAAAGGTGGATTGTTCGATATTCACCTATTCCTTACTTAAATTCAATACAATGGATCAATACTCACTGTTGATGTCACCACAAGATGACTGGTGCACTCAGCAAAGGCACCAATGAAGAAAACACAATCCTTCAAACAACTACTGGCTCTTATCTGGCTGCCGCTCCTACCATTGACATTTATCAGTGACTCTGACACGCTGCATGACTCCAAAGTAGCGTTGTCATTAATTCATAATCACAACTAAGTCCATATTTCGGTAGGTACCAATCTTGGTTAGATAGGTAGGAAGTTAGTTCGGATTGCAGCTACATTAGAACATAGTTATACTTTAAGTTAATTTCATGAATATATCCGACGCTGTAAAAAATAAATTATTTTAAAGGTGGTTTTAATCTGATTTCACCTATAGAAATGGGATATATCCAACTCAATATCCGCTCGGAATTAGAAAATTATCTAATTCGCTATCTGGCAGGAATTCAGTAAATTACCTGCTTCTAATAAAGATAATACGGAAACGATAACACCATAAGTATCAGTATTAAAAAATAATAGGACTGACAATTGCTGCTTATACTATTATTAATAATAACCAGTGGCCAACAGAATCACTGCATAGTACATTAAGTTGGTACATAACAAGGAATAATAACTGAACTGTGATACCATAAGCCCTGACACTATCATAAGGACCCTGGAACGTACAAGTCAGGCTCTCCCAGAGTGCCTTAGATTAATACCATGCTTAAATTACATATTGGTGTGTGGCAAAATTCATGTTCAGGGTTGCACTTCTGTGATAACCGTAAACACTAACTGATGTCTTTGAAACCTACTGCAAGGACCTGTGAAGAACTCGTGTTTGCAGGAGTGTTAAGTTCTATGAGTGTTTATGAGTTATGAGTAATCTCGCCAGTCTCAACACAACATAGCCCCATTTACATATTCTCAACATTAGGAGAAGCCGCCTGAGCGTCCTCGTTCTACACTGACACTCCCCCCTCACTTCCGTACCACCCCTCCCACCATTACCTTCCTCACCCCTCCCACCATTACCTTCCTCTCCACTCCACCATTACCTTCCCTCACCCCTCACACCTACCCCCCACCCTCACCACCCCCACCTCCCACTACCTTCCCACCTCCCCCTCACCCACCCCTCCACCTTCCTTCCCCCTCCACACCATTACCTTCCCCCACCCCTCACACACTACCTTCCCCCACCCCTCTCCCCTACCTTCCCCACCTCCACACCATTACCTTCCCCACCCCTCACCAGTACCTTTCCCACCTCCACCCTACCTTCCACCCCTCCCACCATTACCTTCCTCACCCTCCACCATCCCCCACCACTTCCCACCATTACCTTCCCTCACCCCTCCCACCATTACCTTCCCCTCACACCACATTCCCCAACCCTCCCACCATTATCTTCCCCCACCCCTCACACCACTGCTCCCCCACCCCTCACACCATTACCTTCCCTCCCCCTCACCATTACCTTCCCCCACCCTCCACACTACCTTCCCCCACCCCTCCCATTCCCCCCACCCCTCACCATTACCTTCCACCCCTCACCATTAACCCCCCCACCCCTCACACCATTACCTTCCCCACCCTCCCACCACTACCTTCCCACCTCACACCATTACTTCCTCACCCTCCTCCCACCATTACCTTCCTCACACCCGACCTTCCCCCATCCCTCCCACCATATTTCCCCACCCCTCACACCACTACCTTCCCCCACCCCTCCACCATTACCTTCCCCCACCCCCTCACACCACTACCTTCCCCACCCCTCACACCGTTATCTTTCCCTACCCACCCTCCCACCATTACCTTCACACCACTACCTTCCCCCACCCTCACACCACTACCTTCCCCCACCCCTCACACCACTACCTTCCCCCACCCCTCACAGCACTACCTTCCCTTAACCGACAACCTTTCCCCTCCCTAATCCGATCTACCCCTCCTCTCCCCAACATGACCTATCCCCTTCCCCACCACAGCAGGATCAATACTACATATCGTATTCACCTTCAGTATCCCATCTATTTTTCCCTATCTCTAATGACTAAGTCTTCCTATTCACTAGCGCCGTCCGGGAGAGAATTCCCTCGCTGGCCAGCACTCACGTCGACTGCGTTGGCCCGAAGCATCATATCTGCCTTCCCAAGAAACACAAACCCCAACATATTTATTTATAAACACACTTGGCAGGGGATCGAGGTACTGTGACAGCTGGTGGTAACAGCATGTTGATGCCAGGGGGGTGAACGTGGTGTAAGTGAAGTGGTGACGAGAGATAGCTAACAGTGAGGTCGTAGAAGTACTGCTAAGTTGCTGTCACTAAAATAAGTGGTGTTAAGTTTGTGGTACTCGCCGAACAGGTGGTGTAATGTTAGTGGCAACGGCAAATTAATTCAGGGCAGGATGCAAATGCATTACAGGAGGATCTAAATAAACTGCAGGGGCGGTCTGAAAAATGGCAAATGAAATTCAACACCAGCAAGTGCAGCGTACTTAATATTGGAAGAACAAATACTGTCAATGTATACAGCCTTAACAACATCAACAACATCAACCTAGAGAAGTCGACTTGTGAAAGAGACCTAGGGGTACTTGTAAGCCCGGACCTACGGCCTAGAAAACAGTGCGTTAATGTTCGAAATAAGGCAAACAGAGTATTGGGTTTTATATCTAGAAGTGTAAGTAACAAGAGTGCAGAGGTCTTATTGCAACTATATCTTGCGCTAGTCAGGCCGCACCTCGATTATGCGGTTCAGTTCTGGTGCCCCTATTATAGAATGGATATAAATTCACTAGAGTCGGTGCAGCGAAGAATGACAAAAATTATTCCGGGACTTAGAAACCTTCCATATCAGGATAGGTTAAAGAAACTTAACTTGCATTCCCTAGAAAGACGAAGAGTGCGGGGAGATATTTTAGAATTATTTAAGTGGGTGAAAGGAATCAATAAAGGGGATATTGATAAAGTTCTTATAATATCCGAGCAGGATAGGACTCGGAGCAACGGATTCAAGTTGGATAAGTTTAGGTTTAGGAGGGAGATAGGAAGAAACTTGTTCACAAATAGGGTGGTGGACGAGTGGAACAAGCTTAGCAACTTTATAGTAAGTGCGGGAACTCTGGAAAGTTTCAAAATGAGGCTAGATAGATTCATGGATGATAGAGAGTGGTAGTAACTCTCGACAGAAGTAATATTATCATCCATATCCTTCTATACATCGGCGACAATTAATCAACTTACCTGGATAAATATCACCAAAATACGGTAATAAATGTTAATGGAATGTTATTATATGCCCTTAACACAGGTGGGGCTAGGTGTTGACGAGGGAGGGAGCAAATAGTGATTATATATAGCTGTGTGACGGTGATAATTGTATAAACTGTGAATATTGTTTTGAAAATGATCCCTTATGGTAAAAAATGTCGAGAATTCGTTGCCATATTAGTTATATGTGTCAGACTGTCAGACGATGGGACCGAAGATACTAAAGTTGGTTGATTGATCATTAATGTTGAAGGAATCTTTGTAGACTAAAGTAATGAAGTGAATGTAATACTTTTTCTTATAACATTCGGTTTTATAGTTTGTATATTGGGAGTTAGATCCATAACATACCTTGTCCATTCTTCTGTAAAACTTCAGGTGTGTGTGTCGTGGTGTTGAGAGAAGGTCAAGAGATTAAAGACTCATTATTATTATGTTTAACTGTGATAATAATACCAGGAACTAGTTTAGCCCTTTATAATCCCGTGTTATATTATTGACCATTTCTCTTGCACAGTTTGTTCATGTATGGGACAGTGAGGACATTAATCTTTTTCTGTATGTTGTAGTGATTGCTGGCTCCTGTAGACGATGTAAATACTCAACAATAAGGGATACTTGTCTTACACTGTTTAATAATGACAATCATCACTAAATACACGTGTGAAACAGTTTGCTAACTCGTCTTTTGATTGTTTATTTGTGAGAAGAAATGCAGTAAATTAATTAAACTCCCTAAGTCCAGAATATTATCACAGGTATCATAGGTTAATTAGTTTCATCAGTGTAATGTCGGTTTCAACCTTTACGACGCT